CAAATGTGGTGAAGAAAGCTGATGGTGCCCAGCTATCAAAAGATATAGCATCTGGGGTCTTAAAGGCTTGAAGGTAAACAAGAGGCCACGAAGTGTCAAAAGGATGAGGTATCAGGCATCAAAGAATAAAAAATCATATCATTGTGTGCCCATCTTCCCGATATGATCACTGAAGCCAAATGTGTGCATAAGCAAATGTGGTGGAGAAAGCTGATGGTGCCTGGCTATTAAAAGATATAGTGTCTGGGGTCTTAAAGGCTTGAAGGTATACCTTGCATTTTTATTAAATTAGTTATCCATTTAAAATCGTGTTTATTACATTTCAGCCAGCGTTTCCACTATCTTAAGTAGAAGAGTTTTCAGGTTACCTGGCCTGCCTTCTTGCCAGAAAGGGGAGTCACCAAAGCTCTGACTTTTCCAAATCTTTTCTTTCAATTCTATAAGGGAGGCAGCTCCATTAGATGACTCTCCTTTCTTACAGTTTCCACAATCTCTGAGGAAGGTGGGAACATGTGGACTGAAGCTTCTTCATTTTGTGTTAGAGAAGTGAGGAAGGGGATGGGCAAGAGGAAGTGGGAAGCCACAAAAGTTATGAAGGATTGGGAGGTGATACAATGCACAATGAACATTCAGAACTAGAAATACTTGAATTGTGAATACTTTCGGTGTGCAATAGAGTAAGCGCACACCAGCCGTGGTTCTTTTTGCCTCCCCCAAAAAGGTATAATAAACAAACATTAAGAAGATTAAGGGATTAAATTGACTTGTAAATATAGAACATTTCCCCCCACTGTATTTGGCACAATCTCTTAGAGTTTTTATTGCAGTTGTTGCTGTTTGCTTATTTTTAATTTGAAAAGGAAGGTATTTTCTTAGGAAGGATTTATAAGGGGAAAAAAAATGCTGTGATCTTGGTAGTTAGGAAACAGACTGTCCCAGCTAGGGTAATCAATACTTTCCAATCAGCACGGTCCAGGGAAAGTCTGCCCTGGAGCACTGAGCATGGCTGCATGGAGGCAAGCTAATAACAAAGGAGAAAAATGGTGTTTTTAGTAGAATGAAAGCCTTCTAGAATGAGATTTTTCTGAGGCAAATGAAGGCTTTCTAGATGTGGACAACATGCACGAGAGAGCCTTTTGAGTGTTTAACAGAGAACAACAGTTAAGAGCAACCCAGTTGGAAACAAACTTGGCAAACTAGAGAGTGGGAGGACCATATCTGCACATCGTTCCCTGGGGCAGAAACGATGCTAACTTGTCTCTTGCCTCTGCTTTTCCCGGAAAGCAGTGTCCCCCAGCTCTGACCAAGCCACTGGGCAGGCCGTACTTTCCCACTTTCTCAGGAGAGGGGCAGGTAACAAGACCTTGCAACAGAGAGACCATATGAAGGTCAGATGACGGAAGATGTGATTACAATCTTGGAGGGCCGAGAGCCCAGAGGCGGGAGACAGACAGATGGCGAGAATTAAGGAACTCCTCACAGGCTTTCACAAATGAAGCGTCTTTTTTTTTTTCTAGTTTGTGTAGAAAAATGATCGATGGTGGGTGGTGGGAGGGGGTGGGGCGTGTTGCCCACTAATCAGGGCATGGTGAACTTGAAAAGGCTCTGAAGTGGTCACTTCGCCCATCATGTCGTTTCAGGCCAAAGACCCCAGCCCTTTGGAGCCCTCATCTGCACGACCTTGGACGTTCAGAATGCACGCCTGTTGGCCATCACGTATGTTCACATAGGTACAGAGTGTCTCGCTGATGAGATCTGCCAGCCCTCGGTCAATGACTCACTGTCCCGACGACGACGTGGACGCCATTCCCTGGCAGGGATCTGACCTGACTTAGAGGGACTCTATTGCCGTTGCCAGCCTCCTGGGGTCCTCGCCGCGCCCCCTCACCTTCGTGAAAGCTCGGTAGCACACGCTGCACAGCTCCACCAGGTAGGCCAGCGTGAAGACGGCGTTCTGAATCACGAAGCTGAGCAGTTTCGAAAACGGTTCCAACAAACTCTGAAACGAGAGCAGGGCCAAATGACAATCAGTCGCTGATTCCGCCGTGAAAGATGAACAAAGAAAGCGGCTACAAGCCTGATCAGACTTTCACCAAACGGGATCCTGCCTTTTAAAAATGTATTTATTTATTTTGAGGACCGGTGGCTGAGGGGCCAGTGTCGTAACCCTGTGGGTCTAACGGAAGCCGAGCTGCAGCTTCAGTCAATGGTCAGAGAGTCCGAGTCCGCAGTTCGGGCAGGGGGACAGGGGCGCAGTCCGTTCTGCTGTAGCAGGTCATTGGCAAACCTACCTCACTTCAACCTACCCCATGGGTATACCCACCCCAAAGACTGAAGACTGAGGTTTGTACTCATTTCTTCGGCCCTCAATGCATCTCTGGGTCCATCAGATCCAGATCCTCCATAACCCATTGGGTTTCCCCTCCTTCGGGTGAAGTAAAAGTTACCCACAACTGCCCCTAGTGAAAATGTTTTGAGATATTTCGTTTTCTACGCATGCCAGTTTCCTTAGTTGAAATCTGACACACATACAATCTAGGTACACATTTCCGCCATTGTCCAACAGTAGAGCGACCCAATGAAACCTTTCGAATACCGAAAGGCAATTAGCGGGACCTTATATGGTAATAAAACTTTGAACATTCCCAGACCCCAGAAATGACAACAAAAGCAAATGAACGCATAAAACCTAAAATAACACTAAAAAAACCACCCAACTCACAGCCATTGAGTCCATTTTGACTCCTAGTGACCCCATAGGACAGACCAGAACAGCCCCTGTGGGTTTCGGAGACTGTAACTCTTTACAGGAGGAGAAAGCTTCGTTTTTCTCCCGTAAAATAACAACCCTGACACACAGTAAAGTAGGAACAATGATAAATGCATAACCTAGAGTAGAAATATATATTTTAATATGAGGCTGGCTGCTCCCGTACAGAGTGACAGTCTCAAAATCTTAAGGATCAGCTCTACTTTGAGTTGCACGGGGCCCATCTGAGTGGAAACCAACAGGGCTGGCAGTGGGTTTAGCGTAGTTCCCGGGGAAGGGGCTTGGCGGCGCCATGTTCCCAGCTCCAGGTGGGCCCACGGCAACACAAATGCCGGCTACGAATTTCCCTTTTTCCTGAAGAGCGAAAGTCCTCTTTGGATTCCCTTGGGTTAGTAAACACAGGTGCTCAGGTAGGTCCTTCCCCCGTGGGGTAACTGAATGTGAGGGTGGGGAAAAATTGGGGAGCAGTGAAAGGTTTCTGAACATGCAGCCACCAAAAATTAATCCCAAACCGAATGCATCAGGAGTCCAAGGTGCTTCTGGGCAGCACTGGTCCTTGTTGCAAATTTCTCAAGCGCAAAGGGTCTCTAGTGGAAAGCATTTCAGCGACCCTGGAAAGCAGGCCTGGGGAAAAGCAGGAGGGGTAGGTCTTTTTATTGATCCCCAGAGAAATTTTCCAATATCAGTTAAATGTTGGATAATCTCCCATGTTAATGGCCACACAAGTAGATCAAACATTACTATAGGGACATCCTAATAAGTACGGTTTGCATGACATTTGAATCTTCCTTCCGGTAGATTCCCAGGAAGGGCATGATTAAGTCTGAAGGGGTGAGCATGTGTTAGCTTCCTTTTTCTTGACTGATACAAAATGAAACTTGCTACACGTCACTTGCCCTTGAGGACAGGAATTATGTCTTGGACTTGTTCGACTCTCTCACAGACACCTGTGTGTTTTCCATCGGGACAGAACCCTTCAAAGTGGTGCTGTTGACTCAGTATTCTTTGCTACAAGAAAATGCTGATGACTTGACACCCAGACCCCAGGGCCTGGAATATGTCTCAGCTGGTATGTGATGCCTCCTTAGAGATGCATTAAAGAGAACCATGAATTCACGCATCTTGATGAGCCACATGGTGATGAGGCGCCCAGGCAGCCTAGAGGGTAAGCACTCAGCTGTTAACCAAAGGCTGGTGCTTGGACCCACCGGCTACACAGCAGCAGAACGATGTGGCAATCTGCTTCCACAAAGGATACAGCCTGATAAACCCTCCGGGCCAGCTCTACCCTATCTGTAGATTCACACGGGGTCAGCATCAACTTGGCAGCAGTGGGGTTTGGGTAGCATGGTGTTAGGGAATGGGGTACAATAAGAAAAAAACAAGGAGCTTGAAATCAAAGGTGCCGCTAATGAAGTTTCAGAGTTTCCACCAGCTAGCTCTCTGAACCTTGGTCCAAACACTGGATGTCTCCGATCTTTATCTATCAATGAGCAGGGTAGACCAAGTGATGTCTACGCAACGTTCCAGAATAAACATTCCATGAGTCTACGAAAGTACAGTCAAGGAAAAGAGTTGCAAGAGGCCACCTTTGATAGTTTATTAACTAACTAGCAGTTATTATTAAATAATAGTCATTATTACTGTGGTTGATGCATGCCATCAAGCCTGTTCCACGTGTAGCAACCTTATGCACAACACAACTAAACACTGCTCAGTCCTGTGCCACCCTCACCATTGGTCTTGGGCATCTACTGGGTCAATCCATCTGCTGCAGGATTTTCTTCTTTTTGCTGCCCCTCTACTATACTAAGCATGATGTCCTTCTCCAGGGACTGGTCTCTCCTGACATGTCCAACATACAAGAGACAAACCATGTCTCATCTTCCTTGCCTTTACAGAGCCTTCTGGTTGTATGTCTTACAAGACAGATTGGTTTGTTCTTTTAGCAGTCCCTGGTACTTTCGATATTAATCTCCAGCACCGCGTTCAAACACATCGATTCTTCTTCAGTCTTCCTGATTCAGTGTCCCACTGTCACACGCATATGAAACTACTGAATATAGCCTGGCTCGGTTTAGGCACATCTTAGTCCTCACATAAACATCCCTGCTTTTAAAAGAAAGGTCTTGTGCAGCAGATTTACCCAATGCAATGAGTCGTTTGATCCCTTGACTGCTGCTTCCTTGTGCAGCAGATTTACCCAATGCAATGAGTCGTTTGATCCCTTGACTGCTGCTTCCATGAGTGCTGATTGTGGATCCAAGCAAGATGACATCGTTGCTCACTTCAACTTGGTCTCGGTTTAATAGGATGTTACCTGTTGTTCCAGTGGTGAGGATTTTGGTCTTCTTGACACTGAGCTGTGATCCATGCCGAAGGCTGCGGCGACCCTGGCTCATCATCGGCAAGTACATCGAGTCCGCCCCACTTTCAGCAAGCAAGGTTGAGTCATCGGCACATCTCGGGCTGTGGATGAGCCTTCCTCCGGTCCTGACACTACGTTCTTCTTTATAAAGTCTGGCTTCATGATTAACTAGCAGTTCCCATTGTACCAGGAAAATTGGAGTGAACCAAACGTGGGGCTGGACTCGGTAAAGCAGGGGCTCCCTAGAGGGTCGTCCGTGCGACTGCACACATTAATTCTGAGAACTCTGCCAGGCATCGTGAGATCTCCCACAGGAGGAAGCTTTGAGAAGGAGGTGTCCACCACGCTGACCACCAGAGCACGAAGCTTTTCAGGCAAAGAGCATGGCCTCCACAAAGGCACGGAGGTCTGACGTTAACGAAGATTCCATGTAAAGCACTTAAGACGGTATGGGACATGCTCCACGAAGGGTGTTGGTGGTTTCTGCTGATGACAGAGGTGATGATCCTAAAGGCGCACTGGGGGCATGGGAATGGGACGAGCCAACTGCACCTTGCATTGTCGTGCGGAAAAATGAGAGTTACCCAAGATGTTTACAGTGAGGAATTTAACAGGATGGCTCGGGGTTTAGGAGGATCGCTTGTCGGGAGTTGGGAGGATGGACTGAGGGGCGGGCCGGGGCCTGGGACGTGGCGGTGGTCATGCCACCAAGTCGATTCGGACTCAAAGTGACCCTCTAGGCTGGTGAAGAACTGCTCAGAGTTGCCTAGGCTGTAATCTGTATGGAAGCCCATCTCCGGGGCTCTCCTGGGTGCGTTTGAACCGCTGACCTTGAGGTTGGCAGCGGAGTGCTGACCAACAAGCCGCCTGTTTTTAATAACTGGGGGCTTGGATTATTCAAAAGTGACAGTAGGAAGTCCCAGGGCTCTTCTGCCTGGACATGGGCCCATCAGGGGGTGGGAGGGAGGCAGAAAGCGCCCCACAGAGCGAGCCAGACTGAGGAGATCCCCCAGGCAGCCCGGTACCTGCCTTGGATCGGCTAACCCATTGGATGTCGTTACCTGCAGCGCATACCTACCCTTGTGGCGTTCACGGACGGTATCTTCAAGAGGCAAATCATAATCCTCAAACTGGAATCTAAAGAACACTGCAAACAAATGTAAACAAAAAACACAAAACCAGCATGTCAGTGCGTTTCAGAAGACAGCTTTAGCTTGAAATGCTCCTGCAAACATCTATTTTAGAGGAAAAAAGAAGCTGGCACGTGGCCACCTCCCTGCAACCGCCCTGTGCCATTTGCTCACGTTGGAAAAAAAATTAGTCTCAGATTAAATAATAACTCAACAGTTGCGTACTTAAATACTATTAGCCGATTCAACAACCAACCATGGCTCCTCGGCTGCCTTTTCCAAGACGCAGATGTAAAATTAAAACAGAGAGCTGAACAGATCATTGGATGAGGAGGTGGACACGCAGGTGACTGGTTAGATATTAATTATGTCCAGCTCTAAAGAGGTACACTAGTTTGTGAAAGGCCTTGCTGAGAAAGCTTTTAAAAATTAGATCTGTTGAACACCATCTGACTTAGCAGCTTACATGGGGAATGGCTTCATCGGCCTTTTCTCCATGCCTAACAGACAAGACTGAGAGAGAGCAGGGCACTGCTACACTAGACAATCATGCCTTCCGAATCTGTGAGAGCTCGTTTGACAAGCTGCCTTATCAAGTTGTAGTTTTTTGACGAGAGTATCGGGGATAAATGGCACAGCGCGTACTGGACATTCTTTAAACGTCACACTGGCAGCACGCAGTGACAACTCGGCAGCTGGATACAGCCTTAACCTCTTCACGATCACGCAAACGCGGCCAGTGGCTTTCCAAGGAGCCACCACACCTGGAAACGTACCAGAAATGCAATTTCTCAGACTCCACTCCACTCAGCTACAAGAAGTTGGGGGGGCCCAGCCCAGAAACCTGGGCTTTTACCAAGCCCCCTGGGGAAACTAAGATAAATGGCAGTGTGAGAACTACTTCTCTACATTGACAACTACAAAAAGCTATCATTGGCTTACTATTTGTCCCAGAGATTTTTTTAAAGGGGGGTGGGGGTGGGGAGGAGGTGAGCAGAAGATATTAGAAGTAGTGCTCAGATACCAGATCCCACTGAACATGACTAATTCTCACATAAATGCTGAAAGCATCCATGTTTCTCTCTCTTTCACACACACACACACACACACACACACACACACACACACACACTGCCACTGAATAGGCTCTGACTCACAGTGACCCTGTATGGCATTTCCCAAACTGCCCATCTTTATGGGAGATGCTCACACAGAGTGGCTGCCAGGTTCGAACTGCTGACCTTGCCGTTCTAACCCAATGTTCAACCCACTACACCCTCACGGCTCCTGTTTCACAAAGACCTTTGAAAGGGACCATTGGTCTATTTGATCTGCTGCTGACCCAGTGAACTGGTGAGACTTGCAGTACTGCAACCGGGGTCTGAAAGGCTCTCTGCCAGCCAGGCCCCCGTAGTGTGTTTTAAATCAGGAGACTTTGCCTTGAAAAGATGTGGGAAGACCTGACCACCCAGGCCTGCAACCCCCAGAAGAACTACTAGCTGGGGCAGAGGGGCAGCTGGCCCCCTTGGGGACAGCATGGTGCTTTCCAGCACTCAAGGGTCTCCATTCTCCTTGTTACCTCACCCCACTCCACCCATTACCCGACGTGCAAGGTTGGGCTGGTTGCTACGCACTCTGCTTACAGCTGTTCACAGCTGGAAACCCTCCCCATGGGCCAGTGTCCGAGGTGAGTAAATACTGTGGGCTCTGGCACCTGCCTATAGGCATTTGGGCTTGCCACATCTACCCCTCTACTTGGCTTGCGATGTGTTCGATGGCAATCGTTGCCCTGGTTGGGTCCTATTGCGGTTCCGTGTACCACCTGAAAGTGTGGGCTGTGCATTGCCCACAGGTGTATTCGTACAGCGTGGTTTCAAATCACCCCTCCTCGCTTGGCTCCAGAGACTCAGCTCTGTGGGGAGAAAGGAGGCACAGTGTGGCAGGAAGACAGAGTCGAGCAGAGAGATCACCTTGATCAGGCCAACACAAGCCGTTAGTCCCCTTGAGATAAGTTCTCCAAGATTGACACGCTACCTTCTACGGAACATTAGGCACGGATTCAGGTCATCCTCACCTGAGGGATGTGTCTAGGGAACAATAACCTACTGCTGTCTTTCTGGCTTTTTTTTAACCAACCGGAAGCATATTGTGAAGACTGAGCCCACACCGCTCACTGCACGTTGCTGTTCTGCCACACGTGGCTCTTGCTCTCGACTCAGTGGCTGTGAGGGCTGCCTGGAGCCCTTTAGAGGGCATGGGATCACCCAGGACCCTGCTTCTCGTCTCGTTCTCAGGACATCCTTGGTCCCACGGGAACACCTAGAAACGTTTACACGGATCTGCAAAAATGGGGAAACGGGATCCTGGGGTCATCTTACCTTCAGCGGTAAAACGGAAGGCAGCTTGGCAAAGAAGGTCTGAAACTGGTTGCTGATGGTGGTCCAGAGGCTACTAGGCGAGTCCATGGGCAAAGCTTCCATGAAGGCGGCAATGTTTTCCAAACAGCGTATCATAGCACCCCCTGCTGGCAAATTCTTTTTGTTATTTAGACCCTAAAAACACAAAAGCATAAGCAATCAACTGCTGAGACCGCCTGAGAATTCGTGGAGCTACATGGCGAAGATCAGGGTCAAAATCACACGTTCATGCTGCTAACACTGTTCTGAGTGGGTGGCTCCCAGAGGCCAGCCATGGTAATGGGCAAGAGGGGCACTGAGGAACTTTCAGACAAATTTAGGGGGGAAGATAGAGTGATCTTTCGCTCAGGAAAGGAAGGTGAAATGTGAGCAAGAAATAAAAAGCATCTCTTAACAACCTACCATGCACACCATGGGGAAGGCACTAGGATGATTAAGATGCTCTGGAGAGAATCCCCCTGGGGAGGCCTGGTAGCATCATGGTTACGAGTTGGGCTGCTAACTCCAAGGTCAGCCGTTTGAAGCCACCAGGGTGCTCCATGGGAGAAAGACGAGGCTTTCCACTTCCATAAAGTGACAGTCTCAGAAACTCACAGGGGCAGCTCTACCCTGTCCTAGAGGGTCACCGTGAGTCGGCATCACTGGATGGCAGTGAGCTTGGAGGAATTTGGGGAGAGAATTCCCCAAGCCAAAAACTGGACGGAAGGTGTGTGGGAGAAGCAGGTTCTCTGTAGTTCACCCCGTCCCCCAAGCTCGCTGAGAAAGCTAACCAGCAGTGCAAGTAGAGAGGGACTCCATCTCCTCCTCCCACAGTACCAAGTTTCAAAAGCCAACTGGTTCTATGGAGGGGACACTTGGCTCCCCCCACTGTCTTGAAAGGGTTCAGCTTTGAATAAACAGCGCTGGCACTGGTGGTCTTTGGTCAACTCCGACCCACAGAGACCATTCCGTACAAGATGCTGCCCCGTCCTGACTCCATCCTCACGATCTTTGGGTGTTTGTGTTCCTTGTTCTGGAATAGGAGTGCCCAACAGAAGTATGTCTATGCTTTGGCAACTTTCAAAGGAAATGACTTCCCATTTCTCTCTTGGCTACGTGGAGTGGTGGAAAGAAACAGGGCTCTCAAGCGCAGCTGGGGCTCAGAATGTCGTTGAAACCTACCTCCAAGAGCTGGCTGAGTGCAGCGATTGAGCTCAGCTCATTGAAGTCCATCAGCGACGTGGCTAAGGTCCGTAAAAAAGTCCCATCTGGAAAGTCAACAGGCAGATTTAGTAGGGGCTGGGGGGCCCCAGGAGGAGCCAAGCCTGCAGGGACTGGACCCACGGAGGGTGGCTCACCTTTGATGGTGCTCTGGAACAGCTGTGGGAAGATGCCATTGGGCGCCAGTTGATGGAAGATGCAGCGCAGGAACTGCTTGGCCACCCCTGCTGCGTTGCCAGGAACCATCATGCTGGGGTTGAGCGGGCACGCACAGGAAAGACAGGAGACCATTTACTCCTCTAGTGTTTTAGTTTGCACATTTCTATACCAGTCATCTCACAGAAGGGCTCTTTGCCGTTTCCATTAATACAGTGAAATGATTTAGTCATCTCTAGTCTTCAGAAATGATACCTTTTAAGACAGAGAACCATGAAGTGCCAGCAGTGTCCAGACTTACCCCAGAGAGGCCGGCAAAGAAAAAACAGAACACCAAGTTCACAGGGCAAGAGACTGGACAATCAGGACTAGAGTACGAGATGGGGGTCAGCAGCCAGACCCCCAAGGAAAGTGCCTGTGGCTGAGAAAGAGGGCTGTTCCGGGGGAAAGTTTGAGGAGGGAGATGTTCGCTCTTACTACGAGAGCTGAGATTTCTTGAGCGTGGGACTGGCGCTTGCAAAAGGACAAGATTTTGATAGACGCCGTTTCTCTTCTATCCCCAGGCCACCTCTGCATGTCAAAAACGGAGTCCCGAGATCTGTAAGTGGCCCTGGTCCTTACACGTACATGCCGGGAGGGATGTTTCTCTGAGATGGCCAGGGGTTAGTACCGCAGGAAGAAGGACGAGGGAACCAACAGAGCCAAATGGACACCGGGTAAGAAGTGCCCCTTAGCGACGTACTGCTGCATGAGCCCAGGTCTACACGGACGTGCTGGTTCAAGCTTGCACGTCAAGTGCTCCCCGGGAAGACTGGCACAACCTCTGCCAGAACTCCCACAACTTTACAGAAAATACAGGAGGAAGTCCTCGCCGGTTTGTGCTACGGGGCCAGCGAATCCTAAATCTAAAAGTATCCGCTGTCCTTACAAAAATAAAGGAAGGAAGAGAGAAAAAAGAAAAAAAGACCTCGTGACTATGGAACCCAACTACCGATAAAAAGCATGGGACACGGAAGTAGACAATGGCAAGCTACACTACTGGACATTTCTGATCAGGAACGTAAAATAAGAAGTTCCAATTAAAAAAAAAAAAAACAAAGAAAGAAAAATGTGGGACCGAACTTCATATTCTTAAGATTCCAGACGTACTACAACTATTGAGTCTGGACGACTCCCAAGGCTGTGACCCTGAGCTGCTCTTCCAGCCTTGGCCGAATCCCCTGGAGGGCATCCCAATGAGCGAGACTGTCACATTTGAGTACTACATGCCTTCAAAAATAAAAGAATTATATAAGACCAAAAGGCCAACAGCTATTTCAAAGCATCGATGAGAATGTTTGGGTGTGGGGAGTGGAGGCGGGCAAGAAGATGAGTAACCAGGACAGAAATAATGAGAATTTTGACACCGGGTGAAGCGTATAATTCGTATCATTGATCAGTATGGATCTGTGGAATGGGAGTGGGTTTCCCTGTGTTTATCTTTAATCAAAATCAGAATGATCTTTTCAAGTACAAAGGGATGCTGGGCCATGAACAGGCAGAGATTACCCCCAAGAAGATAAGAATGGCTTCATATCCGATCATCAATTCATGGAATTCAGCAGATTCAAGGGTGACGAGAGAAGACTACATAGGCCAAACAGCCAACAATCAATGGAGAAAATGTACTTGACGAAATTAAACACACTTTCATGATAAAGACTCTCGGCAAATTGGAAATCTAAGGACGCAGCCTCAATCTAATAATGGGCTCCCACAGAACGTCATCTGTCGCGAAGCTGATCACTGTGAGAGAAGAGTGAGCTCAGGAGCAAGGCAAGAGGCCCCGACTCACGCTCGTTCACTGCGCCAAAGATGGGAGCCATCGCCATGAGGCGATCAAAAGAAGTACACGATATAAAGGTCAGAAAGGGAGAAGGCCAACTGTCACCATCTACAGATGACGCAGTTTTCGAACGTACAAAACCCACAGATGTCTCCAAGCACCAACTAACAAATTTCAAAGAACTAAATGTGAAGTTAGCAAAGATGCAACACTCACCTGTGTGGGGTTTTAAAAAGTTAGTGTGAAAATTCCATTATCTTTTTTTTTAAATCATTTTATTAGGGGCTCATACAACTCTTATCACAATCCATACATACATCAATTGCGTAAAGCACATTTGTACATTCATTGCCTTCATCATTCTCAAAACATGTCCTCTCTACTTAAGCCCCCAGCATTAGGTCCTCTTTTTTTCCTCTCCCTCCCCGCTCCCCACTCCCTCATGAGCCCTTGATAATTTATAAATTATTATTTTGTCATATCTTTCCCTGTCCGATATCTCCCTTCACCCACTTTTCTGTTGTCCGTCCCCCAGAGAGGGGGGTCACATATAGTTCCTTATAATAGGTTCCCTCTTTCCAACCCACTCTCCCTCTACCCTCCCAGTATCGCCACTCACACCACTGGTCCTGAAGGGATCATCGCCCTGGATTTATGTTTCCAGTTCCTATCTGTACCAGTGTACATCCTCTGGTCCAGCCAGACTTGCAAGGTAGAATTCGGATCATGATAGCGGGGAGGAAGCATTTAGGAACTAAATTCCATTATCTTTTAATACCCCTTTTGACCACAAACGTTTTGAAGCTCCCTCAGATATAAAATCCATTAAATATTTAGATACCAGCCACAGAACATGGAAAGTGAAATTGGTAAAAATTCCATTTCCATTAGCATTTAAAAAAAAACATAAAATTCCTATCCTGATAGAGCAGGAGGAAAACGTGGGACAGGATCTAGAACTTTTTTTTTTTTAATCCAGACTTACTGGACTGATTGAAAGCGACTCCCTTAGACTATTTGAATCTAGCCCCTGAGGCCACCTTTCAGTGAAGTAACAGATTGGCTTGCAAAAGAATGAACATCACTAGAAGACTGCTCCTTAAAAACATCATTCATATAAGCCAACAACTATAGAACAAAAATGAGAAGATAAGGAAGCAGGAACACTAGATTAATAGAAACAGAGCAACCAGAGTGGAAATGATGAGAATGTTCACCAATGCCATTGGACCACTTGTGTAGAAATCAATTGTTGACTGGAAACCTCAACTACCGTTGAGCCTAAAACAAAGTGAAAGTTGGTTTTATTTAAACCCCATCAAATTCTAGGGAATAAAGTTAACCAAAGGTGAGCAGACTTTGACACTGACAACTGCAATATGTTAGGAGAAAACTGTTCATTAATTAGAAAAGTCAATATCTTTAAGATTAAATTGACTTATAGTTTTAATGTAATTCAAGCAGATTATCTGGGGGGGCTTCAAAAACAAGATGGTTATTCCAAATTTTATATGGAAGCAATTTTAAAGATGGCCAAAGTCACATGGACTGATTTGAAGTAATCAAGACAGTGAATCAGGCTCAGGAAAGAGATCATATGAGGAGATCATATGGACCCATATGAGGAGCTCAGAAACAGACTTACATCTATACCTAGCATTATAATGGTTATTTGATTTTCAACAGAACCAACGTGATCCAACAGGGAAAGAAGAAATGTTTTAATAGTGCTGAAATAATTGCATATCCACATGGATAAAAAGAAGCCCAATCTCTGCTTCACACTATAAATAAAAATTATTTTGTGATGAAGGCTTGCAGACCTCAATGAAATGCTAAGGCCATAAGGCTTCTTGACTCTAGAGCAAGCTACAGGAAAATCAGAAAATACCTTTACAACCTGGGAGTCGGCAAAGGGTTCTTGAACAAACAACGCTCTCTCAGCAAAAGAAATAAGAGACTTGCTTACAAAAATACTTGTAGAAGAATGCTCCGAACAGCTTTATGTACACTAGTCCCAAAGGAGAAACGTCCCTGATGCCCATCAATAAAAGAATACACTATGGGAACTACTCAGATCTAGAAGGCTCTAGAAAAGAGAAGGGTTCCGGGTGGTATGCAATTGCATGAGTGAATTTCAAAATTAGTATGCTGAACAAAAGAAGTCCTACATGAAAGGGTGTGTCCAGTACAATCCCACTGATATGAAACTCTAGGGTTCCACTCATATTATGAGGGTCTGGAACAGACAAAAATCAATGGTGGGGAAAAAACGGTCACAAGACTCACTTCAGTAGGAGTGTGAGGAGGGTTCTGGGAGTGAAGGCGGTGCCCTCTCTCTGACAAGGCTCTGGGTTATACAGGGATTGTGTCCACATAAGAGTTGTGTACTCTCTTGGATGTAGATTTTACAGCAAAAGGAAAACTATCGATAAAAATGGACCTTAACCTACCTGCAGTTAAGATAAAATTTAGCACTCTTATCATTTTATCTTTCTTAGGATCCATTTAAATTTTTTAAATAATTTCTGCTTCCTTTTCTATTGGGCTTTTATCTGGTTTACTTTGTTATTGTTGTTATTTTTTAAATGCTTTTCTGCAATTGAAATCCAGGAGAGGTACATCGATAGAGACAGTTACTAGAGCCCTGGGTCCTTGCGGGCATGGCAGGGGAGGTAGAGGGTAGGTGGGGAGCTACTAACGATGACTTCAAGAATGAAGAGACTGTTCTAAAATTGGTGTGGTGACGATTGCACAATTCTTCCTGATGAGATTGAACTACTGAATTGTATGATATGTGGATTATAAGCCAATAAAAATTACTGGAAAGAAATGGAATTTAGGTGAATGCTGGTCTGCAAGGGAACATGCAATAATGTCTGCTCTGTCATATTGTTCTTGTGCCTCAAATATTGGACCATGATCCTGACATGAAGCTTTTGACTTTCTTATTCCCTGTGCCTGGAATGTTCTTTCCATGATTTCCCGCACTTTATTCAAATACCACTCCCTCACAAAGGCCTTCTCTGACCGTTACATCACTGAAGTCACTTCCTAACCCCTGATACAGCTTGATTATTTTCCTGATTAGTGAATGTGAAACGATAATAAATCAAATAGTTGGTTCCCCTGCTTGCTAATTTGCTTCTTGTCTACGTCCTCAACCAGGTGATCCATTTGTTGGGCCATTCGTTAACACCCACCATGTCTAGCAGCCAGTCAACACTTGCTGAAGGAATGAATGGTAGGCAGGGCCCCCAGCACTCTGTACATTTTCTTCACACACTTACACAATACACAATGATATATTTGTGTTATCACTTTATTCGTCTTGGCCTCCCCATGAAGGTAGTAGGCAAACGATCAGATCTACCCCCTAATTGTGTCCCAAATACCTAGCACAATGCCTGGCCCAGAGTGGGCTTAGGATGGTTTGTGGCCCAGGTAAGGAAGGAAGGAAGGAGGGCAGAACAGAAAATAAACGCCTGAAGCCCTCCGTGACTCCTCTCTTCCTCCCTGAAAGTGCAGCTCGGGCTCCAACTGGAACGAGCCCCGTTTCTTCCCTCGGTTTAGAAACATACACGCGCAGGTGTCACATCAAGGGGAGGGGGGACCTTACCTTTCGGCTTGACTAGAAAAAGTAGTGCTGGATGCCAACCTGGGAAATAAGGGAAACAGAGTCAAAAGAGCACCTTGGACTTTCACGAGGAGCTGAGTTTGCGCTCCGTCCTGCCGGGCCTGTGGAGGCTCAGGCTTAGATGTCTAATTCCTCCGACCAGGGACCAGGGGCCTCACAGGAGTTCATCCCTGAAGCCTACTTTCTGTACCCCGTCAGAAAGATCCAATTAGCGGGAAGTTCAGTTGGCTTTCAGTCACCAGGGTAATCTACAAAATTGCCTCTGCCATTTTGATCGAGGCTAGGATTTTGATCCACCTCTTCCCCAAACTCTCCACTTAAAATGCGTGTCTTTGGACACGACTTCTAAAACCTAACAGCCAAGAAGCCACGAACTATCACGATCTCTAATACAGTAAAAATAGGTCACAGAGATTCACCTGCAATCGCTGGGTCAAATGATGAGAACATAAGTCAATTTTTATTGAACAATGTCTTAAGTAATCATGATATAACATTTAAGTTTTTTTTAAATGTAAGTAGATGGCTGTACATGCTTGGAAACATTCTAGATATGGGATCATGTCGGCTTTGATGACCAAATTGGTGGATCTGGAAGGAATACACAAGGAGCACACTGCAAATCTGCTTACGCTCTTAGGACGACACAAGCAAGTTAAACAAAGAGCCCGGTGGGAGAGGAATACGAACCAAACAACTCCCTGCCATAGAGTTGATCTTGATTCTCAGCGACCCTACAGGACAGAGCAGAACTGCCCTCTGTGGGGTTCTGAGACTGTGACTCTTCACAGGAGTAGAAAGCCTCGTCTTTCTCCCTCAGAGATTATGACTCTTCACACAGGAGTAGAAAGCCTCGTCTTTCTCCCTCAGAGCAGCCGAGGTGTCCAACGGCCGACGTTGGAGTTGGCAACAGAAATGCAGGCACGGCTTCTTATGCTTTGGTTATATGGGGCTCTGTGCTGCTGACGACACACGGGCAACTGGATAAATGTTAGGAACTGAACGGAACCGTAGCAAGACCGAGGGGGCTTGCTATTCCCATAAAGAGGCATGGTCGCAGAAACCCACAGGGCAGCCACCCTCTCCCAGAGGGTTGTTATGAGTTGGTATTGGCTCGAAGGCAGTGAGTTTGTTGTTGTTATTTTAGTTTTTTAAGATGATTTCTCTCCAACTGAGTCCTTGGCTTCACTCATTCTTTCAGTCCTAAGGAAGTCTTAAGGGGTAAGCAAATATCATCTTATTTCCAGGGATAGATAGGGGGTGCATTTTAAGAGGGATTTAAGCCAAGGCCAGCGCGCCCTGGCGGCCCAGGGGGTAAGCTGCTAACTAAAAGCTCAGCAATGCAAGCCCACTGGCTGCTTGGTGAAAGATGAGTCATTCTGCCTTAAGATTTTAAACAGAAAAGCAAGAACCCTCACTGCCATTGAGTTGATTCAGACTCATGGTGACCCCATAGAATGGAACAGAACTTCCCTGTAGGTTTCCAAGACTGTCTTTTTTTTTTTTTAATTCAAATAACTTTATTGGGGCCTCGTTTTTTTCTCCCATGGAGTGGCTGGTAGTTTCGAACCACGGACCTTGTGGTTAGCAGCCCAATGAGTAACCGCTACACCACCAGGGCGCAGTCTTGGAAATGCTAGGGAGGAAATGTACTCTGTCCGCAGAGTTGCTGTCAACTTGACAGCAATGGTTTACATAGAGAGTAGAATACGAACTCCCCTGGGAGACATAGGCGGTCAACAGAAGGGTGCTGTGGAGCTCATCTGCCCGTAGAACACAGTCGGCAGTGGGACTGCCATCATGGGAGACTCGCGTGACTAAAGGGAGTCTTCAAGAACCACTTTCACTCATCTGCTCAGTGTGGTGCATTCTTCTTTGAGGCACCCAGGGAAGGTGGGCCTTGGGGGTGGGGGCAGGGTGGGGGAGGCTCCAAACCCAGAACCTCTGAGGATCAGACTTGCATGGTTAGGAATTGTGGCAGCTTCCCGCCAAGGTGTTCCCTGCCCCTTGTGAGTCTACCCAAACCCACTGCCATTGAGTAGCTTCCAAGATATTAATAGATATAGAAATTCAAACTAGAACCCAGTTACTGTTTTTTTCTTGCTTCTTACACGCTGGGCTGCGATCCGCAAGGTGAGCAGTTCAAAACCACCAGCAGCTCCTCGGGAGAAAAGTGAGGGTTTTGACTCCCGTAAAGAATGACAGTCTCGGAAACTCACAGGGGCAGTTCTACCCTGTCCCAAAGTAACTGGGTTCTAGTTTGAATTTCTATATCTATTAATATCTTGGAAGCTACTTCAAAAAATGGCGGTTTGTTACAGAATTTAAACTCGCTTTCATATCCATGAGACATATCCTATTCTAATTAATGATCAACTATATCTATTAATATCTATATCTATATCTATTAATATCTAATATCGATATCTATTAATATCTTGGAAGCTCTTCCAAAAATGGCGGTTTGTTACAGAATTTAAACTCGCTTTCATATCCATGAGACATATCCTATTCTAATTAATGATCAACTACATGGAATTACCTTAACACGAATGTTCTCAGAGAAGCAAAATGTAATTGTCACTCTCTAGGGCCGAAGGCCCCTTCCTAACACATGGTCATCATCCTTTGATCCAGGTCAGACCTGAGCAGCCTGCTCTTGGTCTCGTTATCCCTGCCCATGGCAATGACCTCAGTTGCTGAGCTCAGAGAGGCATCCTCGAGGCTAGAAGAACCATCAGGGGCTAACAGTGGGAAGAGCCGATGTGTATAAAGGCTTACTATTAACCACTGTCCTAAGCACTTCTCCATTGTCTAGCTAGCTCATGTCCCAACTGAAAAAATTATAACAGCAGGTTTCTTAGAGCAGCTTCCTCTAGCTTCACTCTGCCCCAGATGGGGACTGCTGGGGATTCCAACCAAATGATTAACCCATTCCAGTTCTTTTGTTTTGCTTTGTTTTAAATCCGAGTGGGTCCTACAAATATCAGGCATGAAAAAAGGTGACTGGGTGTTTCCCTTTTACCCTGGTAGGTTCGGTTCCAAAATCTAGATGGTCAGAGGCTCCCTTCTCCAAGCAAACGAGGAAGCCAGGCATTCACCTTCCCACAGACTGCATGATGTCCAGCAACAGCGGGGCCGCCAAGTCCGGGCTTAGGTGAATGAAGGTGGAGAGAACCACAATGGCCAGCCCAAGCGTTTCTTCATCGTATTCTTCCAGGATGGCCCCGCAGTCATGGCACCTGCAGATGAAACACAGGGGGGCGGGGGGATGCTTTCCATAAAAGCCAGTCAATGGTGTCAGGGTACAACACCCTGCACACAGCCATTTCTGGTGAGTCTTGGAAGAGTTCGCGAAAGGAGGGCGTTCGTCGCTTTCTAAGAATAAAGAGGAGCCGCCAGTGCCACCAGCAGTCTAGACAAAGAAACGGCATGAAGGCTCCTTTGATTACGGAAAACGCTCCTCTGACAAGCAGCTGCTGGCTCAGGATGTACTACTCCCTTTGACAATCAGGGCCAATTGACCTTGAGGCTTGTGGTCCAGGGCTCTCTGCGTGTGAAATGGTGGTTGGGGATACTCAGTCACTGGGCATTTTGTTTTTTGCATTCGTCCAAATTTTTAAAAAGAAAAATGCCTGGGCACACATAGAAGTCTTTCCGATTTAAAATGTCCCGTTTGAGAGGCAGGGTCGTTGCGTCCACAGAACACTCTAGAAGGCCCAGGGAGTCTGAATAGCCATCGCGTCACTACCCTTTTCTGCGATCCATTGGGCAAACTCATCCTAGCTAGTGACTTTCATAAGTGAGGCACAAATATGACACCTGCTCATCGGACCTGAGTTTCTGATTGGCCGTGTCCTACTAGGAGCCCCGGTGGCCCAGTAGGGTCACAGCGCGGGCTGCTAGTCCCAAAGATGATGCTGCAAAAGCACCAACCACTCGGCAAGAGAAAGAGAAAACTCCCTGCTCCGGGAATGAGCGACCGTCTTGGAAATGCGATGGCTGGCGCCGTTCAACTCTGACCGATCGGATCACTAAGAGTGGGAATCAACTCGATAACAGTGGGTTTGACCGCAGGTTCCATTTAACTCCATCCAAGCCAAACCGCAACCGCCAAGAAGCCCCCTGCTGCCAAGTCAATCCCAACTCACAACAGCTCCCTGTGCGAGGGAGCAGAAGTGTCCCATCGTGCCTGTGATCTTTATGGAAGCCACCCACCAGCCCGTCTTCCCCAACCAGAGCTCTTTCCCCCGACAGAGGGCAGCTGTCTGGAAGGCAGGGAGAGTCTCATGGCCATGGCAAGGAAACCCAAGCTACGGTTTCTCCCGGGATCTTCCATCGGAGACCCTCCGAGATATGGACAGAAAACAAGTATATACCTACAGATGAACTCTCTCCCAATTAAATGTCTTAAAAAATACGGACTGATAAACTAAAAAAAGAAAAACAAGTGTGTACCAGGACAACCAGGAAGTCGACTAGGAAGGACTGGGGCCTGAAGAGGGACACTAAACGGGAAATTTTACCAAAGAAGGACCAAGAAGAGACCTTCACAGGCTCCGAAGTGCTCCTTGCGTGGATGTTCCAAGCAGCTGCATCAGATGGACACTGAACATATGAAGATGTATTCTGTAATGACCTTTAACTGTGGGCAGTCACCATGGGCACTCACATCGGTCCCTTCGACCTAGTCCTCTTGTCCTTTTATCAGAAACCTATACAATTTGTCAACTGGTCATCTTTACAGGAAGGCTTCTGGGTACAAGGGGATCCTTCCAAACGTACAATCCTACAACTCTCCTTTTTCTCATACTCACAGGACACCCATCTATCTCTGTGTTAGGCCATGTATCAAAAGCTAAGGCTTCAAGTACAGAAGAAAGGGTCCCATTCCTCAAGGATGTCACAAGTTATGACAGAACATACGTGTATAAACAAATAAACCCTTCGAATATAATCAGAGGCATTCTAGCATAGAGGAATGTACTGTGTGCTATAAAAACCCAGAGAATGGCATTAGTAATTCTACCAAGAGGGGTCACTTAAACTTTGCCTTAAGGTGGGTGGGTCTTGAAGCATGAATAGGAGTTCACCAGGCAGAGAAAGTACAGAGAGGGCATCTATAAAATCACAGAGGTGGGAACAGATCAGGCATCCTCTGGAAACGGTGATGGGGCTGGAGAAAGAGTTTCTGGTGAGGGCTGGTATGCCTTCCCAAACTCAAGGATCTTTTATAATAAGCTAAGGCATTGGGACTTCAGCCTATAAGAAATCTGGGAGGTAGTAAAAATAAACAAGCTCAAAGGAGACAAAACTGATCTGAGATTTAGAGAAGGAATTCTAGTGGTAGGGTGGGATACGAATCAAGCTCATACTTATCCCCACCCTAGCAGTTCGGATGGATTTTATTCGCATGAAATTGTGTTTAGAGACCATCGATACGTGGTTTATTTTTTGCACTTGTCCAAATTAAAAAAAAAGGAAAATTCCTAGGTGGACGTAGAAGATGCTGAAACGATACTGCATCTCTAAAATCGTGGGCACTTAGGCCTACCCCCATCTGAAGGACAAATTAAGACTTGAAATCAAAGCTGTCTTCTCTGGTGCTTCCTTAGGACACGCGGCCCAAGTCTAATTCTATGTCCAAGACTAACTCGGCAAAGGTGGTGAAGGGAATCATGACGTCAGCTTACTTGTCAGTCATCACTGTGGGCTGCTCATCGGTGAACTCCTCAGGCGCCGGCACAAACATACTGACTATGCTGGGTGCTGACAGCAGGCTGGACTTAGTAGCTCCTGGGTAAGTGGCAAAAAGACAACTGGTGAATAGAGGTCTGTTTCCATGGGGACAGGAGAGGCCCAGTTCTCCTCTCCTAAACCCCCCAAGGCCACATGCCGAGGGTACGAGCTTGCCATCCCAATTACGCGGTAAAAGACCCTCAATAATAAGCTACGTTCAAGAAAGGTGGTGGCTGATTTGTTTCTGTGCATCTGATTTTGACAGGCCTACCTCTAGCACCCGTTTTACTTCTTGACTTTGAGAGAAATCAGAAAGCCCCGGTGTGCGAACAAGGTACTAGGACACAGATGGGGCATTTGGAGGGGTGGTGGTGGTGGTAATCAGTTCATGAGTGACACCCTTTGATTGCTCCTTCTGAAAGATAACTAATTCGAGAAGGAAAGGTCCCAGCACTCTGTACACCTAACGAAGACGAGGTTGTGCTATGAAATAGCTGTGCCGTTTTCTTCTTGGAAAATTAATGTCATAAGCCCTTGGGGGGTTGGGGGTGGTGGAAGGCTGCTGCTTCTTTCTTTTCCCTTTTTTTCTCCTTTCCAATTGACGCATTCATGAATGAAATTGGAAGTGCTTTGAAGGAACCATCTAGTGACTCATTCCACTTTAGCAGATTGATTTCATCCTGTTTGGAACTTTGCTTTTGGATGCCTTCAGAAAAATCTGAATCAGGAGAAATCTGACTGGGAAATCAGCACGCTGTGGCAATGAGGAAATCAGTCGGGTCTGGAAGTCGTTCTCCATGGAGAAAGCCGCCAGTGCCGGAGAGATTCTCTGAGAGCTGTGGAAAGGAGGCGTTGGGGACGAATCACGAGTGGCTATCCATATGGCATTATGTCCTACCAAGGAAGGACGGCCACTCTGTGTCCTTCAAAGGCAAAAGAAGGCTGTGACTCCCAACAGCCAGTAAAGAAACTGTCCGTCAAGGTACCGGTACTTAATCACAAAAGGGCAAATATTATATGAGACCACTGCGGTCAGAGGGGAAAAGACAAAACATAGACCAAAGGGACCGGACTTGGAGATGACGGAGAGGCAGCGCAAGGGAGAGGAGATAAAGCAATGGCCTGTTGAGGGGCCTTCCGGTCAGTGAAATGGAAATTAGTAGCCCACGAGACCGAGGAGCGAAAACACGGAGCAGATGCAAGGTTACCTGTTGGGCCTTGCTTTCGTAGTTTAAATTGTTGAATACGAAGTGGTTGATCTGAGATTTAAACCCCCACCTGACTGACAATGAAAATGTTTAATATATAAAAAACAGGACTGGCGATTCGTTGCCGAGCGTGTACAAGCAACAATGCGGCATGTCCTTTGCTAAAATGGGGAAAGGACAACTATTCAGAGAAATCGTTTCCAAAGGATGTAAAAGAAGACTTTTGAGCCCAGCCACGTAGGGATCGTGTTTCAATCTGAGGAAACAAAGGAAAAAAGGTCTCGACACCTTAGAAGAGCTGGGGTGCTTTCATGTGACACACTCCCTTGTGTGATGAAAAGCTATGAGATGCGTTTACAAGAAGCACCGGAACTGGCGACCTCAAGTCGCAAACGAAGTCACCCGAGACTATTGTTCTGTGACGTGCTAAGCTCTCAAATGGTCATTCCAACGCTGCTGCGGGGTTGATCAGGTGTCTCTGACAGAGTATTCTTTCATAAGTACCCCTCGTCCTGGTATCATTAAAAGATGTTTCGATCGTTTCATAAAGATGCTTTGTAAACATAAGCCTACATTGATTAACAACAGGGACCACAAGAGCTGGCCGAGATAAAAGAAGGCACGAGTGAGGATGAAGCAGCAACGATGAGCTACATGAAACCACTTCGGGGGACCGGAACCCCGAAAGGTTCACTCTAGCACTCCACCCTGGGAGAGCATCTTCAGACTACATCTCCTAGATGACCAAAGTGCCTGTGCTAAAAGTTAAACACTAAGCTCATCCTGCGCATGGTGTTAGGGAACCACCCTCCCAGAAGCACCACCTCCTGGGAGTCAAGGCTTTCAGCAGATGGTCAATCATTCATATATAGTCGTCAAACCACAGTCCGGAGAACTGAGAGAATCTAGGTCACCTGTGCATTTTCAAACCAATCAGTACCCAATACAGATTGTATCAGTCTTTGCATTGCCTCCTAATACAACAACCCATATTTGTCAAGAAAGAGGTATTCTTAACCATGGCGTTGCGAGGTTGTTTCTCCCATTATACACAGAACGTATAATGCAACATTGTCGATAAAGGCAGAAAGGTGACGTTACAGGGCATTGGGTAGCTCCATCGATAGATTTCTGAACACACTCGTGAAGTGGACAGCAGGAAATGGAAACCATAGGCCTTTTGGTGCAGCTGAGCCACAGTAGGTCTGCCATTGTGCAGGCAGTCCCGTTCCTGCCCAGCTGCTGGCAACAGTCCTAAAGCCACCAGCAGGCAGGTTCCCCTCCCGGAGGGACTCAACGTGCTCCTACATTGGCACTGGGAATGGAGACAGAGGGCTCTCAGACACTCAGTAAAGAAGGACCACCTCTGAAACCCAACTTCAAAGTGGGAGATGCTGACAAGAGCCGTTGGGATGTGCCATTAAGGGTAGGAAAATTATGAAGATCCTTGTTTGTCTTCTAGCTGTTGCCAGGCAACCACCTCATCAATATAGTCTCCAATTTGTCCTGGAGGAAACTCACTGTCTATCTTTGTTCTCATTCCCTCATTCCATTTTTGTTGTCATTACCCAGTCACTCGATGGGGTTAAGCAAGCACCATAGATTTTGTCTATAACTCAGGATCCAACCACCCTGACTTGCATTTATAAAAGATTTTTCTTGCCCCGTGGATGAGAGAGTCTTAGCTCATCTAATGTAGAGGCTGAAACCACTACTCATGGCTAAAGAAATGTTAACAAATGCTGATGATAAACACAATTCCTGGGGGCAATGAGAAGATTGTGTAGAAGTGAGGATGTTGAGACTTCCGTCTCATGCACCTTGGACATGTTAATGGATGAACCAGTCCCCGAAGAAAGACATCATCCTTGGCAAAACAGAGTCAGTGAAAAAGAGGATGATGCTCAACAAGATGTACAATGGGCTCAAATGTAAGAAGCAGGAGGCTGGGGCAGGACCAGATACTGTTTTCTGCTTCGGACATAGTGTAGCTAGGCTCTACGAGGAAACCAATGGTCTAGAAATAGGGTCGAGACAAGTTGGTCTGGTTGAATTAGAACTAGTTACACAATGTGTCCTGTGATATTTTGAATTGGAAAAAACCAAAGTCGTGCTCAACTGCCCATAGAACAATTTTCTTTTGAGGGCTGGGGGTTGTTGTGGGGGATTCTGATGACCTATCTTGGCCTTGATTTCTTCTCATTGTGTTCCCCTCACGGGAGCGTGGGGTCAAGTGCTGAACCAACCACGGAAACACGTCTGACTCACGGTGACCCTACATGGCAGAACCGGGCAGAACTGCCCCACAAGGTTTCCAAGATCATGAACCTTTCGGAAAAACAGACGACCATGTCTTTCTCCTGCAGAATGGCTGGGGGGTTCAAACTACCAACCTTGTAATTAGCAACTTCAGAAAGCACCTATGGGCTTAACGCTCTTGAAGGACCATGCTCAGAGAAGTAGACAAGCAGTGATCAGGAGAATGACAGTTATTTGAGCAATACTGAAAAACCCAGGGATGACTAGTCTGGAGAAGGACAGCTTGCTAGAACAAGTCGTGTGGGGCTATTTTCAAATCTATATCAAAACATCATATGAGACTGAGCTTGTTTTATGTGGCTTCAAAGGTCAGAAGGAAGAACTTTCGGAATGTTGTGTTCAACGATGGGATGTCCCCCAGTCCCAGTCCCTGAAGGTGTCTGAGCAGAGACTGGACCCACTTAAAGGAGCTGCTGAAGAACAGGGTCGAACACCCTCGTCTAACCTGGTTTTACACAAATAACGTATGTGCCCGCGATGTCTGCTTGCCTGTCATGCTCTCCCACCCGGCCAGGTATTTTCATAAGTGTGCTATGCTGCCTTTTTTCACAGCAACCTATGTGAAACTATGCTAGTTGGCTCACCTCCACCCCCTCTCTCAGCCCTGACCGTCTGAGACCCAGAGACAGAACGCACCTCTCATTCGCAGCGGCTGCCCCTCCAGGTCAGGATTTAGGCATGTTGGTGCGTTACACTGGCGTTTCCCCGGCTGTATCTGTTCTGTGGACAAAGAGAGCATTTCAGTCTTCAGTGTGGTCGCTTCCACACAATTCACAGCACAGAGAATGTAACCGAACAATCTCTTGGGGCCGTTTGTTGGCTCATTGTCATCATTATTGAGTATTGGTATTTAAAGGATACATCCTGGATTTTCAGGGGGTGGGGGTGGGGTGGCTTGGGGGTTTCACCACACACCTGCCATTCAGGTCTATGAAATGTAATCGAAAGCAGGTGAGTACCTAAAACCATCCAAAAGAGACAGAAGGTGCTTCCCGCAAAAAAAAAAAAAGTCAAACCCTGTATCTTTTGATATAAAATGAAGACCAAGATCACATGCACAAAGGAAATGTTTTAAGCAAATGGATAAATACATCAGTGATCACCTAGGCAATGGTCAGAAAGATCATCTAGAAAACATGCAGAACTGGTAGCCAGGAAATGACAGGCGTTTGATGGGGGAAGAGGGACCAGGGCAAGGGGGTGGGACAGACATGGAGGCGTGTGCTCCGGGAACACCTGTTGCTATGAAAAATGAGGCAAAGAAGCAAGCCAGCAGATGTGCCCGGATGGAGAAGAGGGGGCTTTTTTCCATAAGTGCTCCAAGTGCACGCTGAGGGGCTCAGCTATGGCCCGGGTGTTAGACTGCCCTGCGGCAGGCCCACAAGACCAGGTCAATCGAAGACCAGTGAGTCGATGGTCAACGTGTGTGCTGCACAGCTGACATGCCACCTCACATGGCCCTTACACACTCCTTGACTCCCCTCGTCGTAGGACTGGGAGATCATAAAAACGAGACTATGCAGATGAAGCTCGACCAGGACTTGAAGATCCACGTTGGAGGATGAAAAACCTCAACTGGAAGAAATTCAGACAGCAGGTGGATGGAAAGTATTGAATAGGAAGCCAGAGAGGCATGAGCAACGTTGAAGTTGGTGGGAAAATTGAAGAAGAAAAAAATCCGTTAAATGGGCGCTTTACCTCATGGAGAAAATTTAAGTCGAAATTTGGATTGGAGATTGAGATAGATTTGTCTTTTTATAACTACCGAGCCACTCGAGGTAGGCAGTGGCTGTAGTCAGATAGTCAGACTCTCAAATGATGACTTCGGGCTGAGCTGCTTCCTGACTGCAGATAAAATCAGCTGTAGGGGCTCTAGGTCAACTTACGGCAGAGCTGGGCACTTGGGTATCAAAGCTTCCAGACAAAGGGGCGCTCCGGTGACACAGTGGCTCCTCACCGGGCTGCGAAGCTCAAGGTGAGCGATTTGAAACCATCTGCTGCTCCTCAGGAAAGAGACAAAGCTTCCTACTCCCATAAAGAATGAGTTGCAGAAACAACACTGGGGACACTCAACCCTGTCCTTTCGGGTCACTGAGTCGGCATGGACCTGACAGGAGCAAGAGACCCGGACAAACCTCCACTCTCACTCCCTTACACAGCTTCATCTCGGGCAAGGGGACAACCACATCCACTTTAGTGGGGCGAAAGGACTCAATCCAAATCAAATCAATCAATAAAGTCTGGAAGGTGGTTTTCCAGCGTCTTCCTCCTTTCTGCCATTACCTCTTGGCATCTGGCCATTTCAGGACTCGCTACCACCCTTTGCTTGGTAAAGCAGATCAGCGAAAAAGAGGACATCGGTAACAATGGCCTCAAAATCACAAAACAAATCGCACTGCCACCCAGTGGCTTAGAACTCATAGCGACCCCACGGGACAGGGTAGAACTGCCTTTGTGCAAGACTGGCACTCTTTCCAGGAGGAGAGCGCTCATCTTTCACTGAAGAAGAGGGTGCCGCAGGTCTGGGGAGCACTCTGTGCTGTTGAACCTGGGTCACCGCGGGTCGGAGCCAACTTGGGCACTCCTGGCAACAGCAACAGCCCTTCATCCAGAAAGCAAAGAAAAGCATTCCAAACCTTCCACCCTCAAGAACCCGCAGAGAGAGCGAGTTAGAGTTAGAGTTAGAGTTAGAAGCCTCAGAAAGAGTCTCCTAACCTCAGGAGAGTGCGAATGAGACATGATATTTAGGGTTCACTCTGCGGGAGTTAGCTATCTAGACATTTTCAAATGGCAAAATAAGATGAAATCAAAATAAATTAGTATGGCTGGGGTTGGGGGAGCAGGGGGAGGAAGTGCCAGGATGTCAAGATTTTGCTTTGGTGAGAATTAGAATTCCTGATCACAAAGAATATGAAAGTCACCTCAAAAGCAGGCCCACTGCCATTGAGCTGATCCTGCCTCATCGCGACCCCACCGGGCACAGCAGCGAGCTGCCCCCGCTGAGTGTCTGAGGCTGTACCTTGTTACAAAAGCAGACGGCCCGCTTTGCTCCCTCGGAGCTGCTGTTGGGTTACCCTGCTGACCTTTCAGCTGGCAGCCCAGAGTGATGCCCACTACGCCGCCATGTCAGTAGAGCCCCAAAGTGTTAACCACAATACTCAAATAGCCCCACTTAAGTGTTGGCCCGCAGAAGACGCCATCATAATAAGCTTGGACGATGTCAACGCGCATGCATAGTTCAAAAGGGTTTCACAGCTGTGATTTCTCTCTCTCAAACGACCCATTTAATTTCCAAAGAAAAAGGAACGGCAGGCGCTTCAAAGGGAAGGGTTGTAGCGGGCCTAGTGGCTTGAGGAAGTAAGTAGAGCGTGTACAGAGGATGGGCAATAGATGCAGAACATGCAGAGGATTGGGTGAAGCAGCGGTGCCTTGGCCATCGATTCCTGCTTCACAGCAGCGGTTCGATGCAGTGCCATCACATGGGCAGGAGGGTACGTGAGCATGAGGGTGTGTGGCTGCAACCCAGTGGCCCTACTGACTGAAGCACAGAACTCAGATTCCCCAAGCCTCCGGGCAGGGGGGGCTGTCACGAAGCTGACGTCACTGGTCATTAGGATGAGTCTCTATTTTCAGGTGGTCGATCACTGGTAAAACACTACCGTAACACATGACCTCAGTAGGGAAATACTGATAATCTGGTGTGGTTTTTAAAACTCACAGCACAAAATTAAACTTCCATTCTCCCCTCTATGTATTGCTAGCGTTTAATTCCCAAATGAAGAACCAAAGATCTAGAATCTGGGTTTTTGAGGGGGGGAAACAAACAAACAAACAAACAAAAAAGAGATAGACCAGACTGAATGGAAGAGCTTGTGGCTCTACCCACTTGGGAAGTTTACACAGACATATTTATTAACTTGTCTTTTCAAATGATTGAAACCCAGAAAGCTTCTCCCTAATGAAGGAGCAGAGTGGACACAGTGGTAATAGCTAATCTGAGCGACAAAACAAGAAGAAAAAGTGTGACCCACCAGTGTCCCCGTTGCTGACGTTAAGGGGGGTGCTAGACTGATGCTCCAGCTGTCCCTTCATTAATTGGCTCATTGTCAGAGGTCCCAGGGATCCCCTTTTCATCTGCCTATTCTGAGCTATATGGAGGAAATTAGGAGATGATTACTCGGGGGATTATAGTTCCACAGCATACAAAGGCTCTACACACCCCAAGAGAATCCCAAATGAACCTTCATTAGCTACCTGCAGTTGTTTGGTTAATGGCATGCTCCAAATCCAAATGGAAAATGGATGCTCTATGCTGTCCTGGATAATGCTTCTCTACCTCCTACAAATACATATCCTGATTACAACAATACGATTTTTTAAATGTACAAACTTTAAACTTACAAACTCAGCCTTGTTGAAGAAAACAAACCAACCAACAGCGTCTGCGATAGATGGTGTTACTTTGAATGTGCGACTTCACTTTCTCCCGTGGAGCTTGTGAGGCTTCCCATACAGCGTTTCAGTCTCCATTCTATCCCATGAGGTGTGTGTGTGTGTGTGTGTGTGTGTGTGTGTGTGTTATGTGTGGTGTGTGTGTGGTTAGAAGGAGAGCAACACATATTGACCCCAATTTTAAGAGCGAGTAATCAAAGCAAATGAAATGATAAGATGGTGTCACTTGGAGCCAACCAGCAATTGAGGTGGTCCGAAGACAAAAACACATTGACTCCAATTCTGTGTTCCAGATCGATTTGAGCTTCGTGAGAAACGGAGCATCGAGGAAGATTCCACACATATCTGCTTGTGCGTGGCTTTGTTTTACAAAACAGCGGCACCGTTTGATCCTGCAATGAACCCTTGACAACTATCCAACTGGTGCAATGTGAAGATATAAGCAGGTTCAAGCCAGGAAAGCACTTCTGACAGGAGCCTGTTGCATCAGGAAGCTACCTGCCTCCTCTTCTCCTCTTCCATGGATGGGCCCTCACCAAACAGGCAGTGCATCTCTATGTGCCTTTTCGGCATGATCCCAAACACCTGGACAGTTGACAACTTATATCTCTTAGAAGGGCGGTTTTAGAAACTGAAGCTACATGCCCTTAGAAGGGGATGATGGCAACCAAGATACTGAAAACCCTCCAATGTTACACACACGTTTCGCAATCACCGTGCCAAGGTAGCTCCTTGGTGTGATGTGAAATAAGTTATAACGTTATTTTAGTGTTCCTAGCCTGCTGTTTGATTAAAATGGTAATCACGACATGTTTAACAACAAGATAATCAGTCTGGCAGACTGACCAAAAGAGAAAGTTGTGGAATTCTCTTGTCCTGAACCTTGGTGAATTCACGGAAACAACGACGATGGTTGAAAGTCTTGAGGGGGGCTGCGGATTGGTGCCACTTCACAATTCCAAGACTCGCGTGTAAAGCACGGCTTCAAGTAAAGCGCAAGGCAGAAACCTTGGAGAAGATGTAAGCAATTTAAAACTCAACAACATCTCTCCAACTCAATCAAGGCAGGAGTGAAAAGCTCAGGTGATTGAATAATTTCCCCAGTTCTCAGTTGTTTTCAAAGACAGCTGAATTCTCTGAGAGTAAAACCCGGTCGTGTTTGCTCAGGGAGTCTGGCACCTGGCATTGTGCCCCCAAAAGCCCAGCACTCAAGAGTTAGTCAAATGCTGTTGTGGCGAGGAGTTCTTCCAACCATTGATGGAGGGAGCCCAAGGATGCTCTAAGATACATCCTAAAAAGCTAGATTGGATCATGGCTTGGGAACCTTGATAAATTTGATACATGCATGTTATGACACATTCGACTAGCAGTGAAGTCAAATGTATCTAGTCCTCCTCTTTTCATATTACAGGGGACCCCTGGACAGCCTAGGTTTGAACGGCACGGGTCCACTTCTACAGGAATTTTCAAAAACACACCATACGGTATTAATCATCTCGCCAGGGAATTGTGACCTCTTCTGGTTCTCTTGCCGTTGTGCAGTGTTGAGTGCCATACTGCACACCTTGAATAACACCCTGGGACCCAGGGGGAATGCCAAGGGTGAGGTTGGAAGTGCTCCCGAGAAGCAGAGAAAAGTCACGACACTACCGGAGAAAAGGGAGTTGCTTGATACGTATTTAGGTCCGTAGCTGCCGCCATCTCAGGAAAAATGGCTTCAGAGGAAGGACCATTCAAAATTAAAAAGGAAATCCATGAAGCTGTGGCTGCAGCTACCCTAGCAGGTGCCAAAACCTGGCAGTTTTTCCAAAATATTTTCTTGCTGTCTTGTATAGAAAAATAGCATTTTAGTGTGGGTGAGGTATAGTGTAATACACAGAACATAGAGAACATGCCTTCGTCGGATGTTTTATCCAGCTATAAGGCTATTTGTAGTTGGAGTTATGTTTTCAGTATAACAACAAAGTGACATACAGATTTAGGATGAGGTGGGGGTAGGGGTGAGCAGAGCACACCCTGCCTATGTGTTATTCCAGGGACGATCGTATTCCTAAATGGAATTCTAATTAGAACGCATGCTTTTCATGTTTTTGTTTTTTTAGATGACTTGTGGCAAATGAGGAGGAGGAAAAAAACCGCCCGTCTGATTTTCTTATGTGGACTTAAAAATGGGCCATCTCTGAAAAGGATTGTGTCCGTGGTTCTCACCCTTCCTCGTGCTGCAACCCTTTAATACAGTTCCTCATGTTTTGGAGACCCTCGTAGGTGGGGGTATCTGCATGTGGGTGGACCCATCTGGAGACGATAGAGGAGCAGAGTCTCTGTTCCTAAGACCATCAGAAATATGGTCTTAGTCGACCCCTGTGAAAGGGTCATTCGACCCCCACAGGGATTGAGAACCACAGGTTGAGAACCGCTGGATTATGTTATGATTATAAAGAACAATTGAATTCGGAACTCTGGTTCTCCTTTGCTTCCAAAGAGGCCCGAAACTGTCACTTGGAAACCATCTTAGAACGTCAGTAAATCTCTGTCACTTCTGAACCTGACCTATCCTCAGGTAGTCAAGAGAGGCCAGTCCCTGGAGAAGGACATCATGCTTGATGAAGCAGAGGGGCAGCAAAAAAGAGGAAGGCCCTGGTCAAGACGGATGGACACAGTGGCTCCAACAATGGGTTCGAACGTAAGAGCGGGTGTGAGGATGGTGCACGACTGGCCAGTGTTTTGCTCTAGTGAACACAGGGTGGCGTAGAGGTGGACCTGACTGGATGGTCCCTACAAACAACAGGAACAAGTCAGTCTTGTGCACTAGGAAGGACCTGCGCTCTCGAGTCAAACAGACCTGGCAGGAACCCTTGTCTTTATCATTTGGTTGTTGTATGGTCTTACCTGTGTGACTTCACAAGTGGTGCACCCTCCCTGAAGCTCTTTTTCCTGATCCATAAAGTAAGGCAACAGTACCTGACCAGTGGGTGTACTTTAGCACAAGCACCTGATAACCATCTAGTATATGGCAGCTACAGGTTCCCTGTGTGACTACAAATGCTGGAGGGCAAGGGCTGTTTTATTGATTTGCCTTTCATTTCCAGTGTTCCAGTGCCAACCATGCTGTCTGGCACCCAGCAGACACAATAAAGGGTTGCTGAATGAACGGATGGGTGGATGGATGGATGGATGGATGGATGGATGGATGGATGGATGGATGACGATGTTCCCTACTACCAGTCCAGCATTTAGATTAAGAACTTTATCTGGATCGTTTGCTGGGATCACCCTCATTTCAAAAGACGATCAAGTAAAAATTAACTCAATTCTTCAAGCAACATCTGCATTGAACACAGAACACAGAATGTGCTTCTGACATGTGACCAGGGCTTTTATAGGATGCCTTTGCCTGTATCTTAAATTCCACTGAATAGGTCCCCATCGGCGCTAGTGTCTCTTAGTTGATCCCATGGAACCAGGATGATGGTCTTATCTTCCTGTCAAGGGAACTCAAGCTCCCCATGGACAGTCTCTAGGGCTCAAAACCAGAAGGTGGTTTCAAACCATCTGCCTGCTGCTAAATTCCATGGCGTTACTCTGTTTGTGATCCAAAAGGGCTGGAGTCAATCAAGACTTTGGGGCCATGATACATTCAATACATTACATTCTGATGTGATGATCCTGGTGAAACTTGGTCAATGGCGGGGGTAATTTGATTCCAAGGAACATAAAGGTATCCCATGTAAAATCCTGCCATTGGCAGTGCTTTGTTGCCCAGACCCATCTCATAGATTATGCTTAGGCCAATAATATCTCATTTTATTTTACTGACTGATGGGATTCAGTGATTATTCACCAACAATCAGTAACCCTGCCGATCGATCAAGCACTTGCGATCCTGACCAGTGTGAAGCTGAGAGGCCACAACACAGTCGCTGAGGAAACCAACAAACATTCCAAAAAATCCAAGAGCTCTGAGATTTAGAACCACGCAGCAGATAATATTCTGAAATCAATGTATACGTGAAATGATCATCAGAGGAAACCTTACTTGATATTGATGAATGGCTGCTTGTTTCTGGCACCCCTGCTTCCAATGTAGGGGCAGATGACGATTCGCGGGGCATTTCCAAAGTTGAAAGTCCTTTAGTAGTCAGATCTACAAAGAGAAATTTTATTCAAAACCCAAGACACTGGTTAAAAGCAAGTTTCAGAACATTTCCCACATCATTTTTTTCTTATCAAAGACACCCATTCAAATTTTCATATACTTTCTGGCCCTATTAGTTACTTTAAGGGGATTGCATACACACTGGCTCCGACGGTTCATGGAGAGCTGTTTCTACAGGATACTCTGCACACATGTTTGCCTCTTCGAGATCAGTGAGCGCACACGTGCAAAGCTAGGCTCAGCTTGCTCACAACACAGAGCCCTGGACAAGCCAGGGAACCTGTCCATGACTGAATGTCTTTCTACCTAATACTTAGAGATGCTTAAGGGTTCATTCATTCCACCTACATCATGCCACCCCTCCATGTGTACTTGGCAAGTTCTACCTCAATACGTCTATACAGTAAATTCCTCCTCTAAGAAAACTTCCTGAATCCGTCCCATCAAAAAACGACAAGCGAAACACCTGGTTGCTCTGTTGTATATTCCAGAGTACCCTGCCCTTCATAACCTTTCCCAGACTTATCCCACCATCGTTACTACACAATAGGAAGGCCAAACCCAACTCACTGCTGTTGAGTTGATGGTGCCTCTCTTGTACAGAAGAGCACTACTCCATAGGGTTTCTGAGACTGCTAACCGTTATGGGAGACAGCCTTGTCTTTCTCTCAGGGAGTGGCTGGTGGGGTTTACATCGCTGACCCTGTGCCTCGCAGCCTAAGGCTTCACCCTCCGTGCCGTTCTCTACTTGGGATACTCACCAGCCCGCCAGCCCATTCCTCAACTTAGAGTACTTCCTATTGACTCGGGGCGTACTTTATTGTTTGAGCAAGAAATTCGTGTTGTAAAGGACCTCTCTGGAGAATGAATATATGAAAGAAAGAAGGGGGAGATGTGGCCTTTGCTTCTTCTATTGGCAAATGTGGATGTAAAGTGAATAACTGCTGCAGATGATCTTGCGTTATTAACTTATAAAAATGGGTAATAAGCTCTCTCACATTATTGCAGACAACAGATAATTGCACCTAGTAATTTTTTACACATTGCAGTAGTTTCTTGTCGCAAACATCCTAAAATTCTTTCTAAGCCTTCCGGACAACTTTTGCAGCATGACATATTTCACATCAGGAATGTCATGCTAACCTGGAGCTACGACTGAGTTTCCACGATTAAACTATGCCACAATTCAGGAAAGACACACACACACACACACACACACACACTCACACACACACACACACACTCACTGCCATTGAGTCCATGCCGATTCATAGCAGCTGTATAGGGAGTAGAAAGCCTCATCTTTCTACCATGATGCCACCGGTTGTTTTGAACTGGTCTCCCTCAGACAAGTGAATTTTCTTTGTCTTGTTTTTGTCCTGTTTAAGACTTAACCAAGGGGCCACTGATAGAATGGTCCCCATGATGTTTCTGCCTCATCCTTTTCAGACTGTCCATTTGTCTTGCTGGGTTTGAGTCTGGTGTGGTTTGGCTTGGTTTGGTTGATTCTTGTTGGGTTTTGCCATAGCCCAAGTCACCACACATGCATACGTACCTACGATTTAAGTATACAGGTCCTCTTCTACAACTGGATGATCACTCAACTTAATTCTATCAGGAATAAAAGTAAACGACGTCCTAAGAGGGGACTTAGCAGACACATTTCTGGGCGTGGGTTTGGGAATGTGGGTTTTGGATCCTCGGGGTCTTCTCGACAGAGAGGGTTGCCAGACTCAGAATTTCGAGGTCGCTGAAGAAGTATAACAAAGCTTCTCAAACACTCTTCTTTACGCAAAAAGAAGAACTCCTGACATTAAATTAGTGTAGTCATTCAGAAATTAAAGATTGGCTGTTCTTTTTCACTCAAAACTACTGGTAAAGGGGACACAGGGGTGGCTGATGGATGATGACATCAGGGGACCCGCATAGAACAAGAATGTGTAGAAACTCACAAGTGGACACTCCTGCTGGACAAGATTGAACTATGGAATGATTTGATATAGCTATTAATCCTAATTAATATCATAATAAAATACAATAATTATTTGCTTATCTTTTGAAAAAAATTACATTAAAATGTTAACTGACCAAAAAATAATTGCTAGTAAAAAACATACCTACTTAGCTCTCTAGTCTTTGCCTGTCTCCAGTTGTACGTGTGTTGCTGTCATAACTCCACCAATCCTATAGAATGACACAGCTTAAAACACACTTTTAAGAATTCTCCAGAGGAGTCTGAAGAGTTTCAAAGTACTAAGGTGTTGATTAAAACACTTCATGTAGTTTTCATTTTAAAGGCGTGTCATAGTTGTACGAACGTTACTAATAATCAGTAGTGTGCCAAAGAGCACTTCCAGCCAGACCATTTGCTCTCAGTGGTCAATCATTTTATGAGGACTGATAGTTGTTTAAGGTTTAAGACAACAGATAGTTGAATAGAGTTATACATTTCAATAGTTCCATTCGTTTTTTAAATACATTAACGTGCCGGAAATGCCAAGCCATTAATTAAGTAATACATCAGATGTTTGCCAGCACTGTCTGAGACCCCTAGGATACAGTCAGTGAGGACACCAGGCAAAACTGCTTGACTCTGAGTGCTTTCATTATAATGGGGAGACAGACCGTGATGAATGCTCATAAAAGCTAAGTACTTATTACGAGGGGGCTTCAAAACGTTGTGGGGGAAAATGTAATTAAAGGATAATGAGATGTTTCCACACATTGAAGTCCTCTTGTATATGGTATGTTCGCTGACAAATTCTCTGTAGATGAGAACTAGAGAAAGGAATGAGACACGGAGATGCCAGGTAGGGGTGGGAAGGCAAAGCACGGGGCAAGGCAATTCTCCCTGGGAATTCGGTGTTTGGTCAAAGCATCAGAAGTGGGGAGAGAGGGAGCCATGCAGCTTTGGGGGAAGACAGAGACGGTGGTGGGAAGGGCGTTGTCAAGGCCCTGAGGTGGAAATACACAGGCGGTGTTCAAGGAACGCCAAGGAGAAGGCACCTGGAGAGCGAGCTGGAAGGGAAGTAGGAATCGGGGGCCAGGCCCATGTGGGGCTCCCTCAGGCTCAGAAGAACCCAAGCTTTCACTTGGGAGAAAAGCCACTGCACTGCAGAGTTTGAGGAGAGGACTGGGGTTAACGTCCTGTTTTAAAGAACCCCTTTGCTTGCTGTGTCCACCAGTTGGGAAGGAACTGAGGCAGAAGCAAGTCCGCAGTGGTAGAGGTTGGTGGCTCAGACCAGGGTGCAGGTAGCAGCAAAAGTGTGCCAGACTGCGCATGGATTCTGAAGATAGAGGGGGATTGTTGAAGGTGTGGCATGATCAGAGACCTGGGGTGGGGATGGGGGGCATGTGCCATGAGGCTTGCTCTCTTGCCTCTCTGCCACCGTCATGAGAAGAACACGCATACTTCACAGGTCCCGGGAGAATGTTGGGAGGCATGAGAGGCAGTCTGGCTTCCCAGTCCATGTCTAGCCTGGAAAGCTGGTCCCCAGATGCCGGACGGACTCTTGAACTAAATGAATGATTACTGTTGCTTCTTAACCCAACGACGAGTAATGAGGAGAAGGGTCATGGCATTTGGACAATATTTGAGGTCAAAAGACCAGATGAGCTTGAGGATAAAGGGTAGACACAGAAGAGAAACAGATCAGATCAAGATGCCAGGGCACTTCCTCCTGCAGGTGATGAGAAGGGACCAGCAAGAGAGACCTAGAAGGTGGGACCACTCAATAAAAAGGAAACCCAAAAAGAGAGTGCAAACGATGAATGGTGTCAAGTATTGCAGCTGTTTGGAAGAAAAGACTTCAGAAATGACCATCAGGTTTGACTTGGAGATCACTGGTGACCTTGACCAGTGCAGTCCAGGTGGAGTCATCACCACCATTGAGTCGAGTCATAGTGACCCTAAAGGACAGAGCAAAACTGCCCCCTGCAGCTCTCTGAGATGGCAAAGCTTCACCAGAGCAGAGAGCCTCGGGTGTCAGAAAGGGCATGACATCTTCACGGGAACGATCTTAAGAGAGAGTGGACCAGATGCAACTGGACGTAGTGAGTAGGGACAGCTCTTCCAGAAATTGCTGCTACAAGGCAAAACGCATTAAATTTGTTCCAGCTCTTCATATTTTCTACTTTCTTTTCTATTGAGGTTTTTCTCTGTTTTGTTGTGCTGCTTTTGTTGTTGTTGTTGTTGTTGGGGTTTTTGTTTTTATCTTGTGAGTTGTTCTGTTTATGAAGTCCAGGCTAGGAAATCTACAGAGACCGTCATTGGATTAACAATTTCCTAGGGACATGGCAGGGGAGGTTTGGGGGGGAAATCGGAAGAAAGAGGAACATGTTCTGGAATGGACCATGGTGATGATTGTACGACTCTTCTTAACATGACTGGACTATGGGATTGTATGATATGTGAATCATATGCTAATAAAACGATTTTTAAAGAGCTGGGGAATTGATATCAAGAGGGTTTTTCTTTTTAAAGAGAGAGAGCGAAGATGATGTTTTAAACTGAAGGGACAAATCCTTAGAAAGAAAAGAAATGATGAGAGGAGAAAAAATAAGTAAAACGCACTGCTATGAAGGCTTTTCGAAGCTGTACATCTTGATGGAAGACCACAGAAGAACTGATGTACTTGAATCATGGTGCTGGCGAAGAATATTCCAACGTACCATGAGCTGCCAAGAGAGCACACTGATCTGTCGCTGAAGAAGTGCAGCCAGGAAGCTTCTTGGAGACAAGCATAATGGGCTTTGTCTCGCGTACTTTGGACATGCTTGCTGGAGAGACCACATCTTGGAGAAGCACATCAGACTTGATACAGTAGTAGGGGGCATGAATCGAAAAAGAGGGAAGCCCTCCAGAGACTGACACCGTGGCTACAACAACGGGCCGCACAGAACAATCGTGGGGACGGGGGGAGACCGGCAGTGTTTCCTTCTGTTGTACATAAGGTCGCCGTGAATCAGAACCCCTAACAACAACAACAACAACAAAGAGAGAAACCATGAAGTAGATGACAGACAGCAGGATCAACATGCTGCGTCCAGAGAGACGGAAAGGGAGAGAGAATGTGAAACAGCTCATGCGGACGCTGCAGGGATTGGTAATAACAAGGTCTGAGGGAGGACCATGGGAATGAGGAAATGATGCAGGTGGAAGGGGAAAAAATCACTAAAAAAGATGAACTCAAGGGAGCCCAAGTGTCAGAAGAGCCATAGTCACTAACATTGAGTCAGCAGGAATAAAGATAAGAATAATTTGGTTAGGGGGGAGGGCCCCGAGCCAGGTGTCCAGTTTGTCGACACATGAGGAAGAGTCAGGGTTGGACACACAGTACCAGAAAGAGTAGTGAGGGACACAAGATGACCTGAAAGTCAAAGATGAAGGAGTGGTCTGGGCTGGCCCTGGGGAACAAGGAAGACATCTTCCTCCTCCCATGCCCAATGGCCAAGGGCTATGGGGAGAGCAACGTCCTCGGGCAATAGCCAATCTTCCAAGAGGGTAATGAGCACTGTGAGAGGAGAGAGGTTGAGCAGCCATAGAATAGAATGAACAGATAATGGATTTCCCCCCCACGAACGTTCTGAAGCCCCCTTGTAGAAGAGGTCTTACTCATGAAGGATCATACATTTCTGAGAACACAGGAAAACGGTGTCAGGATTTGAGGGCTAAGTGGAAGACATGCGCGTGGCCGTGCTGCCTTCTGAGCGTGGAAGCTGAAGGGTCGACTGCAGCACCCACAATGACCGAGAGAACCCGAGAGCAAGAGTCCCGGTGAACGGAAGGCAATTAGCTGACAGAGTAGGCAGGGCCTCTTTGACTAAAGCTGAGAGAGGCAAGAAAGTGTGGGGAATGTGAGGGTATTCTGAGCACCTGGGTCTCCTCTGGATGCCTGGCAAGGCAGGGTGGAGATCTCTGTGGCAGGAGGGAGGCACTTACAGATAGAAAATCGTGATGTCAGTATAGTACCATCAACATTTTAGGGACCTATGGATCGTAACAGTCAGGTAATCTGCTGTCTGGTTATACATACACTCCTACAAAAACAATGTCCTCCCTAATAGCCTGGGGCACCATCCGGCAGCAGGGTGGCTAAAGAAGGCGACACACGCAACAAGCACACGTGCACACACACACACACACATACACCCACACACGCTGGGCTAGGAGTACCACCATATCCCGTGTGCACCCACCCTAGAGGCCTGAGAGTCTCTCATTTATGCAGCCCAATGCTGTCTTCTGTCCAATTGCGGCCACCCCACAATGGGAAAGAGCCCCAGCTTGCCAAGTGGGGTTACTACCAGGGCCTTTTTCTGCTCCCCACTTCCACTCTCCACCCCCACAGAGATGGAGCGTGACCCTTTCCAAGAACCCGAATATTCACTCCAGGGAATTTTACAGAGCACCGTCTGGCTAGAAGCATTAGGAGTTTCCCACGGAATCGAGAGGAGTGGAATCCATCCTTTTCAGAGTCCCTCTTAGGTGCAGTGGGAAAAATGAAACTGGAGTCTGGAGAGCAGTCCTGGCCTTGCTCCGGGTGACCTACAACCCCTCCTCTACGCTCAGTGTCCTCTTGTATAAAACAAAGGTTAGACTTGAGGTCTCTAGGGTCTTCACCAGTTCTCAATGTTCTGTGGTCTACAGACCTACCAGCATCTCCTCCCTCATGACTGTCGTTTGTTTTAGAGCTGAACCGAGAAATGAAAAAGCGTTCTAACCAGAACTACAGTAATACTTCAGAAGACTGTGTTTTAGGATGAAGAGGCCTATTGGCTTGATATATATATATCTGTTTTATATATATATATATATATATATTTGTTTTCTTCCTTTTTTTTTGAAACATGCCTCCAGGGAAGCATGAGGAATGGTGCCAGGAGCAGGAAAGGAATGGGTTGAGGCCGCATCACCATCAAGTGGTGCCCGTCCATTAGGGTCCAGCTTTTTCGTGGGCCTGCTGTGGGTCCTGAGAGCACAGCCAATCCCCAAGACCGCTGGTATTTGTTAAGTCTGTGCCATCAGCTAAAAGACCCCAGAGTCGGTTCTTAATCACCGAGAGAGGCCCTAGGCTTGTGTTGCTCCTTCGGACTCTGACAGCTCACTACAGACTAGCAGAAAGGAAGGAAGGATGGAGAGAAGAAAGAAAAGCAAAGGGGTTCAAATGCATCCCTTTGGTTGTTTGCGGAAGGCTCAGCTTCAGATGTGAAATATCCTGCTATGACTTAACCATTACCTCTTATTGCCAAGGGGGGTGGTCAAGAACTGACTTCAGTGTTTCAAAACAACAAATACAAAAGCATTGATGGAGCCAGGGGAGCCACATCTGAATCCGACAGGCTCTCGGGTAAGCAGGCAGGATTCAGAGTGCTGATGAAGCCGTTATAATGCCACTCCCTGACATTATAAGATTAGAGTTGGACGCAGAGCCAGGGGCCATCCCCTGACACATAAGATGCACAAACTGGAGGGAAGGTTGGGAAGAAGAAGAGAGAGACTCACCTGGATCCTTCTGCTCTCCCAGTTTGTCTAGAATGTTGAAGGAAATGTCCAGGTACTCTCTCTGGATAGCACTCACGGCTATCTTTCTCTGTTTCCTCTGTCTCGGGACAATCTGAATCTTAAATTCGGACTCCTCCGCTCCCTCCTCTTCCATTTTTCTTTCGGAATTCTGTTCTGTGTCCGACTCGGCACTGGTATCGGGCTTCTCCCCTTCGGTTGGATTCTCAGCATCTTCGGGAACCTGCAGGAAGGCCGTTTTGGCCCCTGAACTTGGAGTGGGCCCACCAGGCTTCCCTTCCTCCAGGCTGAGGCCGAGGCTCTCATCCATGGACATCTCGGCCAGGGCAAAGGACTTCTGAAGGAGGTCTCGTTTTTGCTTCAGCGTGAGGGGGCTGCCACTGGACAACTCGGGCAGCTCCTCCGCCCTGGCTTGCTCGCGGGGGTCTGTGGGGTCTTCCAGAGCTAGGAGAGCGGAGTCCGGGCTGTTTCCTGAGTCTTTGGAACAATCCTCCACGCTGACTCGCACCAGGGGCGTTGTGCTGAGGCTGGGGACGGCGGCGGAGGCGGCCGCAGGGGTGCCAGGGGTGCCATCGTTCCCTTGCCGGGCCGCCTCCTCCTCCTCATCGCTCTCCACTATTCGGAGAGGGGGGAGAGGCTCAAAGACAAGCGAGTCGCTATCCGACGTGGAGGCGACCGACTGCTTCTCGGGCCCCGAGGTGGAATCCGAGGACAGGTCGATCAGATCCTGGCCCTCCTGGGGGGCCGACTGCCCTGGAGCGTCCACCTGCACCTCAAACGTCTCCATGCAGTTTAGCCGGACTTCGGGGATGACCGGCCGGCGGGCCTCCGGGAAGGCTTCCAGAGCGGGGTTCTCGGGGATCTCGGCGCTGGCCAGCCGCGAGGCGGAATTCCGCCGGGGCCGCCCGGGGTCGCTGGGTCTGTGCAGGCTGCAGGCTCCGGGCGGGGGAGGCTTGTCGGCATCGCAGCGCTCTATGCAGGACTTCCTGCGGTGCTCGTCTAAGGTGAACAAGAGGGAGTCTGCGTTCCCTATATCAAGAGATTTTTGTTTTAAAGAGCGCAGCTTTTTTTTCTGAATGCTGTCTTCTCGCACACAGCGGAGCAGGCTGTCTTGTAATGCACCCGTGTCTCTATAGTCAGCCAGTTCTACGTTACCTGATTAAAACAGAAAAAGCTAGCACTGTTTTACTCGGAGATGTCACCGTGTGTGTGTTTATTTGTTTGTTTGTTTGTTTGTTTTCCCGCATACGTGGGCAGACAATTGGCATATAACCGTAATCAACTCCACCAGAGGGGGGAACTGACGTCTCATCAAGTTCATTCTCATTTCAGAAATACAAAATAACTAAATAAATAGATACCCAGAAAACGTGGGGATAGAGGGAAGGGAAACAAAACAAACAAAAAAATAATAATAATATTAAAACACCCAAATGGCCGTCTAGGATCTTATTTCCCCAAATGGAGCTCCGGGATAAATTCCACCGCTCTACACGTGTGTGCACGGGCAACGGGGACGGGGTTTGGCGGAGGGAGGTCTAGAAAAGTGTCTTTGCACCGTGTGGAAGCAAACACCTGGCAACAAATCAAATCAAGCGATGGCCCCTCTAAGACACCTGTGACGTTCATGAGGTCTCTGTCAACTCACGTATATATATAAGCGTGTCTATATATATACTGTTTGTGCATACACAGAGGTAAAAATCAACAGTATCGAAATGTGTAGTAACGCAATAAAATTAAGATTTCACCCCAAACACACGGTAGAGTACAACATTTCTGCATAAAATGACTGAGAGAAAAAATTCATACTTCTCTGAACATTCATCTCAACCGGCTGATATTTCACCATTTTGCTGCCTCCTATCCTTTTCAATCTTGCAAAAAAAGTTTGAGACTCTTTATTGCAGGGTCCAGTAGGTGTATCATGAATATCAGATTCATCAAAAACACTATCTTCCTCTAATTGGGGAGAGAAAGTCAAAATTACACTTAAGAGGTTATTCTCTCTTAGGCTGTGTCTACACAAGCATTTCAGTGACAGCATTAAGGGGGCAACGTTTGGGGGCAGTTTTTGCACCCCGTTCGTCTAGCTGTGCCTCGACACTCCGTCTAGGATTCAAATTCTCGTGAGGTTACGGAGCAACCTGTGGCGAGGGTGCTCAGCATTTTCCACCAGTCTGCTGGCGGCACTTTTCAAGGGGCATCTCCCTTATCTCCCTTCCCGGGGAAACTCTTCCAATGACTTTAAGACGAGATGACCGGTCGACATCAGTGGCCTTTTCTAGGAGTTGGGGCCACTGCTGGCCTGCCCTGGCTTGCTTTGGGCAAATTTTCAGGAGAATTTGGCCAAAGACCATGAAACACAGTGGGTGGGGCTTGCCCTTTTCCACAACGAGGCGCCTCGCTGGGGTCTGGGAACTGGCATAGACACAGCCTAACAGTACATGCACCGTATACCTTGTGAATGCAAAATACTGTACTCTACATTTGGTAATGAAACACACAACACACAGTGGGGGGAGGAAGAAAAAAAAGCTCGGGAAAAGCCACTTGTCGTCTCAAAAGCTCCACAGATGGTTATGGGCTGAAAGAGTAAACAAAGGAAAACGAACACAGAAAATAACATTTTCCTCCGATGTTAAAGTAGGACCCTGCTCTGAGAGTTTGCCCCTTGCCACTCCTGGGGATCCCGAAGGACTCGCTGAGAATCTGAGGGTTCTGTAAACAAATTGGTCCCCTGAGAGCCTACGGAAGGGACTTGGTTCTATGTCCTCTTTGCTCCCCCTTTTGGCCACGTTTAAAATCAAAGTAACCCCAAGAACACAGCGGTGAACCCCCAAAGTTCACTGAGCGCTCTTCTTTCATCCCGTTGAAAGGTCAAAGGGCACGTACAACCCAGGCATGAAACATGCCTATGAAACAGCACTCCCTGGGATTCACCCCCAGCCCACAGAGATCACATGACTCGGCCTTTAGTCTAGGACAGGTGTGAATATGGTTCTTTTAAGGCTTCTTTGCTCCATGGGGAGTGCCCAGCAGAGAGGTCCATTTCTGGGGTTGATCCTACCCTTGTGAACAAGACTCTACTGGCCAAGGGAACCTGGAGCAGCAAGCGTTACGGAAAATAAACATCCTAGTCTTTCCAGTCAGACTGAAACGCGAACGTTAAGAGCCTTCGTCGTTTTAAAGTGGATGCCACTCCCCTCCCGCCCCCCAATAGAGCTGTCACCAAAATGAAACTCTAGGGAGTCCCCAGGTTTTGACGGAGCTACGGCACCATAACATGTCTTCTCCACTTCTTCTTCAAATAGTTCTTCTTTTAAAAAAATGCTTCCCCCCACCCTCCTGGAGTAAACAGTTCACGGGAGGACCATTATCAACTTTGAAATAATTCTCTAAGCGTACTGAACGGCAGCGCTGGGAACACCTCGGGATGGCACCTCCCACCTGAACTACACTCAGAGTGAAGACACCCATAATGTAGTTCAAACAAGCCCACTCCAGTCGCCAGCAGCTGAAGACCTACGCTGGTAGGTAGAGAGATCCTCAGTGAGGTCGGAATGGCACCAGAACTGGTACCGGAACAATAAACTGTGACCTTTCAGCAATTAACCAGCAATGGCATACCGGCTACAGCCCAACCCTGTTGAGAAATTTCCAGAGCAGAGTAACGGTCAAACCAAATCAGACGGAGCTGCCACCACAGAGGGCCTGCCGGGACTTGGCATTCTCCCAGGATGGGATTAGCTGAGGTCACCTCTACAGGTTTCCTAACCCCACCATGTCCACTAAAGACATACATCTTTGTTCTTTGGCTCTCAACTGGAAACAAACTGTTTGTGTTGTTGTTTTTAATCTACTATGTCCTTTGGAGAGAGATTATGAATAGAAAAGGCATTGATGTTGGAGATAATGTAAACGCTCGCAGCAAAATTGTCCCAGTCATCTTAAATCACCACATACTGAAAGATCACCCTGGGCAGACTGGGAGTTCATCCCAATTCTGTGAGGGCAACCTGGAGACTGCCCAGGCGCCTTGACTGCAGGCCAAGATTTACTTCACGGCCCCAGAGCCAGACCCTCCCAACGAGAGAGCAGAAGGCTTACTGTGCAGCGGCCACTAGCTCTAACAGCAACCGTGTTTTACCAAACGTCGTATCTTAGGAAACAGGCTTTGGAATCCTATTAGCTATTTCTCTTGCATGTTCATGTAAAACGTAAAGCAGCCACATCCCTGGGCAAAGTTTGAGAATTAACCAAGTGACAAGCTGGTTGCTTTGTTTTTAACACTGGGTGCCACTGGGGGACCTAAGAAAAGCGGGTGTCCAGACGTGGATGACGCAGTCGAGCTCAGCTGGGGGACAATTCAGGGGTGGGGAGTACCTTTTTCTTTCTCGCTGTATCTGCTTATGTTGCTGTTGTCGCTGTACAAAGCTCCTGCTGCGGCGTGGGGCCTGCAGCTATGGTACTGAGCATTGAGCGTATTGACCGTTATCTGAATCAGATGCAGGAGGACCTTGCTGATGTCGCAGTCTCGGTAGGGATACTGCTCGATAAAACGAAGGCGGGAGGGGGATAAAATGGTTATTTTGATGAGCCAGTTGTCCCATTTGATTCCCCTAGGTTATTTTCCTCATAAATATATATGTTTTATATATATATATACAGTGAACCCTCGCCACTTCGCGCTTCGACTTCCACGGCTTCACTCTATCGCGGTTTTTGCGTAACAGTGCATGCTCTGTCATTACTGCCACTGATTGGCTCAGACTGTACACGCTTCTGTCTGCATCGCTATCTATCAAAGCTACGTATCAGATGCATTTTTGCTTTTGTACAGTGTACTGTAATTGTTTGCGATTTTTAAGAAATTTTATCTAAGCCCTATGATGGCTCCTAAACGAGCTGCTTCTTCTAAGCCTTCTGACAATAAAAATAAGCGCCAGAGGAAGATGCTCACCATCCAGGAAAAGGTAAAACTTTTGGATATGATCAAAGATGGCAAGAAAATCGTGGAGGTTGCACGCCATTTCGACTTGAATGAGTCTTCCGTTCACTCCATCCGTAAAGAGGAAAAAAAAACATCCGTGCTATGGCTACTTTCACTTTCAACAAGGAAGCAAAGCGCATTGTGACAAGGAATCCTACTTCGCGGAATTTCATTTATCACGGTAGGGTCTAGAACCGATTAACCACGATAAACGAGGGTTCACTGTATATATTAAAAATATCTGAACAAGTAAAGATGTAGGTGCTTATGGTGGTCTTCTTGTTACCAAGAGCCCCCTTCCCTTCCCCGCAACTAAGCCCTCCTGAGCCAAGTCACCGACATCACGGCATGCCATGCCTTTTCAAGGTAACGATTCGGCATTCACATTTGGTGTATAAGTACCACGTTAAATATCTTTTCTTTCCCCTGACAGACATACTATACTAAGTACTACTTAGATAAAATTTGAGACTTGGAGCCTGAGCAAAGGTTTCTCCATGTCCTACAGGGACTTGTTCTCTACGTTGAACATGTGCAGACTACCCACTGGCAGGGTCTCGCTTTCGATCCTCATTGTGGTAGCTCTTTTGCTTCTCAACACGAATCGTCCATCATCAGCCTTCCTTGCAAGGCCCAATTATCATCCTACGGGCAATTCTCCACTTAGTTCTTTTGGGTATCCTCCTCACGCTGCCCTCTCTAAGAGAAGCCTTCTCCCCGCCCCCCCCACCCCACCCCCACCACCAAAGGAGTGGCTCTCAGCAGCTCACCTTGTAAAGGATGACGAGTAAGGCCTTCAACCACATCTGTCGGATGTGAGGCTTTAAGGACCAGAGGGAACAGCGAGGCGGCTGCTGGAAATAATGCCGAAGCTGAGGGCAAGAGCAGTATTTGAGCACCTGAACCACCAATGGGAGGAGATGTTTGCCCAAGTTAATGTTATAGTCCATAACCTGGAATTGAAAGGAAAATTCACCATTGGGAGGGGGAGAATACAAAGAAAACCTGCAAAGCTGAAGAGCGTACACCGTGATCCCTCCCGACAAAAACTGGAGCAAATAGATTGACGGGAGTATCACCAAATGGTCACAGTCACTGCCGGCATATTGGAGCAGGGGACGCGCACCAAAACGCCAGTCTGATATGTTTGTCGTGAGCTCTCTAGACATGTTCATTTTCATTCCCAGCTATAAGTGCCGCTGTACCTACACTAGGCATGCACACACGCACTCGGAGCAAAAGGAGGGAACAAGGGAGAGAGGGTTGATGTGGCCCTCTCTCCTTCACAGGCACAGTTTCAGTGGAGAGCCACTTTGTTATCTACGTGTCGGGCTGCTAACCGGAGGGCCGGCAGTTCGATGCCACCAGCCTCTCGATGGGAGACAGCCTCTCTATGATTATCAGCATCCACTAGAGACGACAACGACGGCGTACCACTTTACCTGTGTGGGTGGCATTTTCATCTACTTGAGCGAGTCACAGGGAGCAGCTATGGAACGCCTGCCTTGAGACAGGCACTGAGGAAGGTGCTGCCCTTGCAAGATGCTAACTCCAGTCTCTTCTAAACAGCTTTGTTCCCAATGAGTAAGCACGCAGAAGATGCATTATGCCTTATGCCATAATGGTTACTCAGTGGCAGGATTGTGAATCACATCTGGTCTTTCTAGCCCTGAACCCCACACCCTTTGCAGAGCAGTGGAGCCATTCTGGAAAGGGAGATTTGTGGCACAGGTTAAAGTGGGCACACCTGTGCCCCACGATCCCGTCACTCTGCTCCAGGATCCACATTCCAAAGGCATCATTCCCACACGGCTCCATGAGGGACCTGTACAAGGGTGTTCATTGCTGAGCTGCTTGGGACAGGAAGAAGTTGGAAGCAATGTATGTATCCATCACTGGGGGGATGAGGAGGTGAACTACAGTGGATGTACCGGGGGATTTCAAAAGGTGGTAGGAATGTTCCCTATCTTCTTTTTTAAATAAGTTTACTGGAGGCTCTTACAGCTCTTATAACATTCTATACATCAATTGTATCAAGCATATTTGTACATATGTTGCCATCATCATTTCCAAAACATTTTCTACTTGAGCCCTTGGTATTGGCTCCTCTTTTTTCCCCTCCCACCCATATGAAACCTTGATAAATTATATATTGTTATTATTATTTTGTATCTTACATTGTCCGTTGTCTCCCTTCACCCACACTTCTGTTATTCGTCCCCTTCGGGGGTGGGGGTTATATGTCCAACCTTGTGATGGGTTCCCCCTTTCTCCCCTATCCCCTTCCCTGACTATCTCCCTACCCTCCTGATAACGCTACTCCCACTACAGTTCCTGAGGGGTTTATCGGTCCTAAGTCCTAAATCCCAAGTGTCCAGAGCTCTTATCTGTACCAATGTGTGTTCTCCGGTCTAGCCAGATTTGTAAGGTAGACCTGGGTCATGATAGTAGGGGTAGGGGGGGAGAAGCATTCAGGGACTAGAGGAATGATGTGTGCTTCGTGTTCCCTATCTTTTAGTTCCATCTTTCCAAGAACATTTTTGAAGCCCCTTGTACCCAATAGTATATAATACAGCTGCTAGAAGCAGTAGACAAGATGGACAGATCCTTGCGTGACTCACAGAAGTTAGTTGTATGATTTACCCAACTCTCTTGACTTGAAGCCCAGAAATGAAAAGGGGAGGGAGACACAGAAACCAAAATCCCCACACTGCTTTCATAGCACCAAGCTGCTGGGCATTACTCATCTTTCTGTTCCCCTCCGCCCACCCCTGCCGGATACCAAGTAACCCAATGACAAGCCTTGATACTCAGCCAATGTTGGCCAACATGGATTTAAGGGCCTACGTGCGCTAAAAGCCTACTGGTGTGTGACCCCTGAGAGCGGCTGTTTGACTTACCTGGGCGATTCCTGCAATGAATGCGTTAAAGCACGTTGACAAGCGCATCTTTTGAGGGGCAATCATGAAGCAACCATCCTGTTGGTCGTAGCCGAGCAAGACATAGAGATGCCGCTTGACGGTGTTGAAGGCCTTCGCACTACTAATGTCTGACTCCGCACTGCTCTCATCCTTGGCCATGAACTTCATGAGCACAGTGATCAGCTGGTGAACCGTCTGGTGGTCGATCCCAGCATCCTCTGGGAGCAGGTCCTTGATGGTGTTGTCATTCTCAGGAGACTGTTGTCCTGTGGGCACAAGAACGGTCGTCAGTGGGCAGCTTGCCAGGAATTCACACAGACAGCTCACTTAGAAGCATTCTTTCCGCTTCCACTAAATAATTAAAGTGTCTGTTTTAGACAGGAAGTCAAAAGTAGGAAAGACACTGTAGGACCCTCTAAGCATCTCTCTGGGGGCAGAAGTTCTGTTTTCACCAACATCCAAATTGGTCAACAACTGAGTTCATTTTCAGGAGGAAGAGGGGAGTGGTAATCAAAACATGAGGCTGGAAGGCCCTGGTGTGTTATCCTCGAGCAAGAAAATGAACATCGCCGTGAACTTTGCATTTTGTGACTCTTTCACATCTCGGCAAAGCCTTGTCCTCCGTCAGAGAGCTTCCAGCTTTGTGAAAGAGATGCATAAGCGCAAGGATAAAGCAGTCTTCTAAAAGCCACTGATCTTCAGAACAGCCACTGGGGGAATCCCGTTACATATCAGTCGGTAAGTCAGCTAGAGCCCCCATTACATGATCTTTAAGTCAGCGAGAGCCGGGGGAAAAAAAGTTACTTTCAAATCTGCGGGAAGATATGTTAGCAGTGCATAGTCTTTGAGTGATGTAGCCAAAGTCAGAAATCGCAAATGATAAGTCTTACTGTATGTGATGAGAAACATACAGGTGTGGGGAGGGGACCAAAGGAGAGAAGCATGAACCTTTAAAAACAGAGGAAACACTACATGAAGGTGAGCTGAGTTCACGCGTGAAAAGAATAAACAGAACACCTGAGCCTTCTGTCTCCTCTTCGTCTGATACGGAATTGCATTTGAGCTACGCCACCTCTGTTATTTGTCACAATCGGAAGTGGCACCCAGTGGGCCTTTGGCTTCCTGACCTTTCTGAGGCAGGGCTACTGGAGAAAGGAGAAGGGGATTTGCTCATATACATTTGTACTTTGAGTCTTATTTCAAACACCTCATGCCTGCTTGTCCTTCTTCTGCTTAACGGCCTCAGCATTTCTAAGTTGAAAACCGAGTGGTTGCCGGTTGGATTAGACCAGCAACGGCATCATCTCATCTCTCATCCTGAGCGGAAAAGTGCTGGTAAATGAAGACACGCTTGGGCTACAAACCGAACCTCAGTTCCGGCCATTATCACTGTGGAAGAAGGTATGAGATGAAGGATGATGGGTTAATCGGCGGGGCCTCCAACTGGTTATGGGGTGAAAATTCTCATCTTTGAGTGTCATTTCCCTACAACTTTTGTAAGCCCCCTCCTATAAATCCAGGATCTCCTCAGCTCAAGTGGCAACATCTCAGTCTCCAGGGACACTGTCGAGAGAAGCCAGATACCAAACACATCTCTGGGAACAGGAGAAATGGGTCATCTCAAACTAACCTACTTTCTTCTCTGCAGTAATTATGGCGTGAAGCTCAGCTCAACTCTGAACTGACTAGGTTAGACGTGCACAGAAGTTAACAAGCTTCGTTAGCTCCTTTCCCGGATGCCCCAAAGGAAGTCAGTCTGTCCGAAAGTCACACCCTGAGAAGGGAGAGTTGACCCTGAGCCACCACGCAGCAAACCAATTAGTCTAAGAGCCTCTTACATATGGGAGACCCATCTGACACACTGCAGTATAACTCTGGGACACTAGCAATATTTTCTGTCCCAGAGAGTTTGTTCATCATGAATATGTGCTTAGAACTTGAAATCATCTATTTTTACCATTGGCGATTAGAATACAACCTAGAGATTTGCTTGTTGCAATACTGCGAAGGCAGAAAATGCTCAGTGACCGGATGATGCTCTCATTATTGTTAGACCTGCATCAACCACCAGAAAACGGAGAAAAGAAAATAAAATCAGCCCATGAGAACTATGTGCTTTCACCATGTGGTTAGAGCCAGGAGGCCTCACAGCGTGTTCTATCTAAATGTTGTAGATCAGAGAGCTGACCAACATCGGGCCCTATGCAAGTCCTCCCTCACTGCAAGGGCACTGGCACTCCATAATGCTCACCTTCCCAACACGATCGCTGAAGACAAAGCGGGTGCATAAGCAAATGTGGTGAAGAAAGCTGATGGTGACCTGCTATCAAAAGATATAGCGTCTGGGGTCTTAAAGGTTTGAAGATAAACAAGCGGCCATCTAGCACAGAAGCAACAAAGCCCACATGGACGAAGCACACCAGCCTGTGCGATCAAGAGGTGTCAAAAGGATAAGGTACCAGGCATCATCAAAACAAAAAAACTCATATCATTGTGAATGAGGGGGAATGCAGAGTGGAGACCAAAGCCCATTTGTAGGCAACTGGACATCCCCTTACAGAAGGGTCTTGGGGAGGAGACAAGCCAGTCAGGGTGCAGTATAGCAACGATGAAACATACAACTTTTCTCTAGTTCTTTAATGCTTCCTCTCCCCCACTATCATGATCACAACTCTACCTTACAAATCTGGCTAGACCAGAGTATGTACACTGGTACAGATAAGAGCTGGAAACACAGGGAATCCAGGACAGTTAAACCTCAGGACCAATAATGAGAGTAGTGATACCAGGATGGTAAGGGGAAGGTGGAGTAGAAAGGAGGAACCGATCACAATGATCTACATATAATCCCCTCCCAGGGGGACGGACAACAGAAAAGAGGGTGAAGGGAAACATCGGACACTGTAAGACATGACAAATTATCAAGGGTTCATGAGGGAAGGGTTGCAAGAGGGCGGGGGGGAAAAATGAGGAGCTGATACCAAGGGCTCAAGTTGAAAGAAAATGCTTTGAGAATGATGATGGCAACAAATGTGCAAATGTGCTTGGCATGATGGATGGATGGATGGATGGATGGATGGATGGATGGATGGATGGATGGATGGATGGATTGTGGCAAGAATTGTATGAGCCCTGCCAAAATGATTTAAAAAAGAAAGAAAAAACAAAACCAAAGAGCTGACTAATATGAAAAGCCTTGTAGGCCCAAATGAAAAGAAATGCCTAGAGAGCTATCTTTCAAGCCTTGAAAGAATTTCACCTTTTGTGTGTGTGTGTGTGTGTGTGTGTGTGTGTGTGTGTGCTTCCTTTCAGACGGTGATTTGATCACTAAAAGGAAGTGATTGCTTCCAGCAAGTTAAGGCCAGGAATGTGACCAAAGGGTGGGTCTCCGTCCCCTGCCGGGTTCAAGGTGAAGGTAGCTGCCTGAACGTTAGCAGCCCCTACTAGGCAGTGGGGGCTGCTAACATTCTCGCTTCACACCTCGGTTCACCTCAGCCTTGAGAGTAAGGTGTGCGAGAACAGAGCACCCCATGCTGTGGAGCCGGCTCCAGAGCCAGGAGGCCTTGACTCCAAACTGGGGGGGCAGGAAGGGTGGTAGGGGCGCTGGAGAGAGAGTTGCACCTTCACCTCCTCCCCTGAGAACCCAGGGATTTATGGAAATGAGGATGAACCAGGACCCCCGCCTTCTAGTTCCTTTTCCCAGAGAAGTGAAGAAATGAAGCAGAATGTGGTCTTGGGCTGAAATATTTCACAATGCCTCTTCCCATTACAGGCAGGTGTGTGTGTGACCTCCCCTTTCCCCACCACATTGTATTTCCCTGAGGGATTCCGTGCGGTGCCATAAACACCTGCTCTCACTTCATGATCTTCAGACTGCAGTCAGCCTCTCTTACACGGCTCTCCTTGAACAGCCAGTGGGGAGTGAGCTTTAACATATCCTTACATGAAGTGGGTGGTGGGGAGGAGGACTATTGCTTCATGGGAACTCTCACATAGTGTCAGTGGGGTGGGGGTGGGGCCCATCCCCTTTTGCTCCAATAATTTACTGCTCCAGTCGCGGGCTCCATAAGTCTGAGCTTTGTGTGTGTTGGTCTTTCTTTAAAGTAGATTGAGTTTGCAACTGAGGCACTCCTCCTAAAAAGAAGTTATCTGAATCAGACCCTGAGGAAAACGGAGCTGCCCAAGAGCTGAGATGCCCTTCATAACTCGTACATGATGTCGCTGTCTCAATTCTCTGCAAAGGGCAGCACATGTGCTGCCCTTATCTGAGGAGAATTTACAAACTGGTAACGGGCATATGGGCTAATATCAGACGTATGGACTTGATCTGGACTGCGCCGGGAGGTTTTCTTAATAAATGATTACTCTTTGATACAAAGCTCTCTCTTACCTGTAAAAGAAGAAGTACTGTTACCCTATCCCTGAAATCAAAACGAACCGTCAAGTCAATTTGAACTCCTGGCGACCCTCCACAGGACAGAATAAAACGGTTCCTTAGGGCTTCCAAAAGTGCGAATCTTTCAAGGAACAGACAGCCTCATTTTTATCCCACAGAGTGGCTGGTAGGTTTGAACCTCCAACCCTGAAGTTCACTATCCAATGCTTAGTCCACAGCACTACCAGAGATCCTTTGACCATGCTACCATATACCTGACTTACTTTAACTCACTAGTATCAAGTCCATTTCATCTCACAGCAACCTTGCAAGACCGTGTGGAATGGCCCCTGTGGGTTCCCCAGACTGGCACTCTTTAAGGCGACAGAAAGCCTGAGCTTGCTGCTGACCTTGGTGACCGCTGACCTTGCGCTTAGCAGCCTAGCTCATAACCCGATACACCACCAGGCCTCCACTATCTACCTACGATTGTTTGATAATCCATTACAGGGAACAAGGAATGAGTCATCATAAGGTCCCTGTGTTCACATGGAGTTGAACATGTCCTGGCGGGACTGTGCTGATATTAACCAAACCCACTGCTGTCTGTCTGTGGGACTCCAACCCTGTGGTCTCTGGGACACAGCAGATATGCTCCCACGGGGTTTCTGAGAAGATAAAGCTTGATGGGAACTGACGGTCACGTCTTTCCCTCCTGAAGCCCCACCGATGGTTTCAAGCCGCCAGCCCTTCGCCAAGCACTTTAACCCCGGCCCCAGGGCCCCAGTTCTACCGCTGCGTTGTATTCAGCCTGTGCTCTGTCTGTCCAAGACTCCCATGGCAGCGGTGACAATAAAAACTAGGTCCCAGCACAATTATACAGGTCAGGTGGTGGTGGTGGCATGCCATCCAGTTGGTTCGGATCCACAGCCACCCAACACACAGTGGAGAGAACCATGCCTGGTCCCGCGCCAGCCATTCTCACAACTAACTGTGTCTACGTTGAGCTCCTTGGTAAAGCTCTCTGCTCTTCTTGTAGAACACGGCCTCCACCAAAGTGTATTTCTGTTGCAACATTCCAGATCAGCAAATGAAAAGATCTTACGTGTTACCCATGACGGTGCTGCGCTCCATCTAACATTTACCACCCTTGCCTCTGGGAGCAATCGACTGAGGGCCCTGTCTGTCACTAATAAGCTGTGACACCTGTTCCTTCTTAAGCACCTCCATTTCCTCTTCTGTAACACGAGGAGGTTCCCGCATCCCTGATGCGTCCACCTTAACGGCTTTGAAAGGTTACCCGTCTGCCCAAGGGCTTTTCAGTCGACTCCGCAAAGCCATCCGAGGAGCAGGCCCACGCCCCTACACTAGCTGTGCCGAATGTGCCGTCTAGAAAGGTCTTCTCCCTGTTGCCACATTTGCTGTAATACGTAAAGGCTAAACCCAGAGAATCATGACGGTTCTGAGGTTCGCATACGCAGCCGTGGTCCACTGCCATCGAGTGGACTCCGACTTAGAGTAGAACTGCCCCACGGCGCTTCTCTGAAACTGTCTGCTCCCCTGAAGATCTATAGCCTCGGGAGCCCTGGGGAGTCCGAGTGGACTCAGTGGCAGCCGGAGCCTAATGGAAACAGATGGTCAGGCTGATGGATCCTAACCACCCACCTTTGGGCTGGCAGCCGAGGGCTACCCCACTGCACCACCTGGGCTCCTGGTTCAAATGCGTAACCTTCCCAAACACTAGAAATCCAGTGCCAAGAATGCTCATCTAAACACCAGTGGAAATGAAGACTCGCAGCACCTTTAAAGGGCATCTGCTGTGTTTCAGGGTGAATCGGGGAGAGGTTTTGCATAGAGGAGCTCATCAGTTGCATCATGCAAAAAGACGTTTGCGAAGCAGCACGGATTTTTCCATTTCTATTTAATGATGACTCTAAATCATTCTGCCCAATTTTCCAATGATCTTGGCAGGTCTTTGCTTCCAAGTTTAAATAGTCACTGCCTAGTCAAACATAACGCGTAAAAAAAATTTTTTTTTAAAAAAACCTAACTTTAAAAACTGCTCTCTAAGTGGGGGCAGCAGCCGTTCCCAAACCCAAGGAAACTTTGCAAAGAGTGGACCGTGGAAATGCTCTGTCTCGGAGTTTTCCCTTCACATTGAATTTATACGCTGGTCTTAGTGGCCCTTTTCCCACCTGGCCACCTTTGATGAGATCATTGGATGCCTGAAGGATTTCGCTTCCAAAGAGACATCAAAGATATTAAATTTTTTTCCAGAGATAGGAACAATTCTGGGACGGGGCTTTCAAGTAAACCTGAAGACAAAGACGAGGCAAATGGACGATAATTGATGAAAATTGCCTCCGAACAACCTCAAAAGGGCCTCACGGAAAGGGGCAGGGATGGGTTTCTCGTTTTTTAAAGAAGCTCAGGATCCGAAGCTCTTATTCTGACTTTCTGTTTTTGTTTTCAGTCCAGCGCAGAGTGAAGGGAGTGCTGTGCGACACCAGGTCGAGGGGCCCTGCCAAGTGGATTTAATTCCTCTTCCCTTGTCAGCGTTTTAGAAAGCAGGTGGATTCTGGCTGCTGTCTGTCAGCTACATTCATGAGCTCCAGAGGGCCCCCGCTACTCCTCCTCCATCCCTCCCTCTCTTGCTAGCTCCCTTTTTATCATTTGTACTCCCCCAAACAAACAAACAAAAATGCACCGCCACCGAGTCAGTTCCAACTCATAGCGAGCCTAGAGGACAGAGTCGAACTGCCCCTGTGGGTCTCCAAGGCTATACATCTCTCCGGAGAAGAAAGCCTCATCTTTCTCCCTTGGAGTGGCGGATGGGTTCGAACTACCGAGCTTAACTCATCACCCACTATGCCGCCCATTAAAAATAAATCGCATTTCCATAAATGGAAACTGACATCCTACAGCAAGATAAACAGGCCGGGGTCAACTGGTTTCTGTTGCACCAATAAGCAGGTGCTCCCAATCTAAACGCACGCTTCCCAGCGAGCCATGGTACCCCAGCATGTCGTCCGTCATCTCCTTGCCAGGATGCTCCATGATCATACTTAACATGTCAGGAGCCATCCATTGACCATGCTGCTATGGCCCTACTGTCCCTCCAGCAACGGTAATGCTCCTTTGGCCGAGACAGGAAAGCATGTCAACTTGCAAAGAATCAGGAATGGCTAAAGGGATGAGTGGATGATAGTGGTCCAAATGTATAACTTTTAAAAATGTAAATGAAATGTATGCTTGTCCTAACACAGATTTAGATGGACAGACATATTTATATGTGTAAATCCACATACAAATATCAGTACTATATGTAATTCTTGTCATAGTGACTCTCTGGGGAAAGGTGTACAATCGGGTAACAGGGTGCTTCTGGCTGGACCAGAGTTATCTGGACCCAAAGTAAATGGCCAATATTCAAATGTTAGAGGATCGGTATGCCAGGGATTGAAACATCTGGGCTAAGACACTTTGGAGACTGTAAAATTTGAAGTATCTCCCTCTGGTCCAGTTAGAGACACCACATCCTTTACCTTGTCCACCTGTGATAAATACTTGCATAGAGCCCTTCAGTGTCAGAAGTACCCACCTGGTGTCTGTTCGGGTGTCCCACCGAGGGCTGGAGCAGACTGCTCATGCCTGGTCAACCTCACGGCTTAAAAATCAACAACAACTCTATTTAAATAAGCATTAAAGACAACTTGAGCCTAGAAATTATCAATATCCAGTGCTCATGGCATTGGATAATAAGGGCATGCCTAGATGTCTATGTCACAAACATTTTGGGGTTTCTTACAACTTCAAGAACATCCTTCCATTTTACTTCTTTTCACAGATGCCAAGATTGGCATGTGAATAACAAGCAACAAGAAAATAACAATAAATAAAGGTTATATCCCAAACTGGTCAGTTAGGTTATACAATAGCTGGGACAGTCATAGAAATCGTTGTAATATATTCAATCTAGGTACACCTTGCTAGGATCTAATCCAACTTCAACGAGAACCTAGCGCAACTATGGATTCCTCTTAAACGGTCATCTTTATTTATGTTTTCTCCCTAAAAAAATGGGTTATTGATCATCTAAAGGGCTTTCCCTGCGCCTCTCAGGGCTTAAAATGCCACCTTTCCATAGCTCATCACAAAATAGAGAAAAATACAGTAAATCAAATCCTACGTATGATTAACAATAAGTAGGTTGCATAAGACTGTCTTGTAATAAATGCCAATGAAAAAGCAAACCTTCCCACTTTGGGCAGGATAAGAACTTGCTTCAAGGAGTGATTTTATTGATGTCATGGCATTTAAAAAAAATATGTATATATGTAATCATTTTTACAGGTTATTAGTATAATTAAAATTCATTCACTCACTAAGGTGGAGGCTTAGGCATATCTATTTTAGTTACATGTGACTCACCATCATTGTCAAGCATGAGTTTCTCTAGTCATTGGTTCACTTAAGGAAACTGCTGTTTTCCTTACAAAGGCAACATGAAGAAAGACCTTTAGGAAACAGGTATCTAGGATCCTTTCTTTGAAATTGGCAAGCAAGTTTGTTTTGCTGTTAAAAATTGACCTGGCGCAGTTGGGTGTGACTTCAGCTTCTCCTCCGCCTACCTTTTCTTTTTCAAAAGCAACCACTCCTAGTGGTTTGTCAAGGGTGGGGGTGGTGGCTGCTTCTATCTTAATTGAAAAGAAAGTGTCTTCCGAATCTCAACTCTGGCAAATGTCATATTCGAAAAGCTCTTGGGTCACAAGGCTAGTGGGGCAAACCTGCATGTTCTAGGGTTTAGGAGCAAATGCCACTTCTCGCGTTTATGCCAAGTGTCAGTGGACTGGCTGCCTTCTACATTCTAAAAGAGTCTACTGGTGGTCAGGCCTTTTGCTTCCTGAAGAAAGGCACCTGTGCCACCCAGGAAGGCCCAGGGAGATGCCCTAAAGCCCCGTCTGCTGAAAGAACTCAGTTGGATAAAAGTTTGCTCCGTTCTGTGGACATTCCACATAGCCGCCTCGGAACGACAGTCAACAGATTCGGGGGCAGGATGGGAGAAGATACTCAACGGATCTTGGAGGTTAGGGTTTCAGGAAGGGAGAGCGCCCTCTTGGATTCCGCCGGCCCTTTCACGCTGTCCCGCAGGGAACGCACACTCTTCTGGCGGTTCCTGGCAAAGCGAGCCCTCTTGATCTTCCACAAGGCCGCGTCACTGAGGTTGGCGACGTTGGTCCTCACTGCGGTGATCGCTTTCAAAGGAATAGAGAAGGTAACGTTATTTGCCCTTAGTTGGCTCTGCCATACAGCTCGTGTGACACAATCGCTCACCGTCCCGGGAGACATTCATCCCCCTGATGAGCCTGAATGCTCATGACTGATGCCCATCGCTTGTCTCTCTCACCCTCAGGGTGAATGATCCGATGGTGTCCCTGGAGGCAGAGCTGGGGAACGGATCCAAACGCATGCAGGAGTGAGTTTACAACGTGCAAACGAATCGCACCAGACTGCTGACCAACCCCATTAGAAACAGCAGGACTGAGTGATATTGACGAAGCACACAGTTCTAACAAAAGGGCTGTCCTGGGCCCTCCAGGAAACGACAAGAATTCTGACCGGGATGCCAGAAACTAATGAGGTCTACGGGCTACGACGGTTGAGCCTGGACAAGCATTTAATGAACTGGGCCCAGGGCGTCAAGTCACCCTCCAGGCTGGGGATTAAACTGCATGCAGGGCATCGCCCGCTTTTCTTGCAGGCATAAGCTTAGGGACTGTGATTTAAAAGCAAGTTCTTGGCTTTACTTACTTGTGGGAAAAGGAAATTCTTTGTTACAATCCAAATGTAGCTGAGCTTCCAAAGAAAGCGTCTCAAATCTATTGACAAAAAACTCCCAGCTCAAAGCAGGAATATCTTGTTTAAGAAAATGCAAGAGTAAAAGCTTACTCAATATTGTGGGTCGGTCTTTAACCACAGTATCAAACTGGAAGTCGAGACAAAGACACAGACCCTGGGGGAAGAGGGGAAAGATAAGTCAGAATTTAGCGCATCAGTTACCGCAAAGCTAATACACTGGATGGCGTCCAAAACAACAAGGTGATCTCCTCCATCCTCGCCAGTCAGGTGGAATGATCCAGCTCCTAGACTAAGCTCACAGCCTCTGGGAGGAGCTTCTCCTACTTTTGATTCAGAGTCTGAGCTAAACATCCAGGCTACCCGGATTCGATTGGCTGCAGACACAGGTTTACTTCAAACAAGCGGGTTTAAACAGGATGTATCTGCAACCAGAGGAAGGCTGCAGACACGGTCTCTCTGTAATACACTCATCTTAATCTCCTTGGGGTGCTTTCCCCCCCCCCCTCAATAAAATAGAAGAAAAAGTCCCATCAAAACAGTGGCTTCTGAGGGGATCTGCTTAAAAACCCACAAAATAAAACAAACCACTCAAACTCACTTCCATCTCATATCTACCCTCGAGGGCAGAATTGAACAGCCCCTGTGAGTTTCTGAGGCTGCAAAACACAGAAATAGAAAGCCTCCTCTTTCTCTGGAACTGCTGACCTTCCTGCTAGCACACCATCCTGCAATCCACTATGTCCCCGGGGCTCCTTGGGGAATCTGCTGAGCCAGTTACATTCACAGCAGAAAGGCCAGCTCAGAAGGTTATGGGAGCAGGTTTGGGGGGTCCCAAAAGGGTAATCTTGATATCGTTTCTCAGTGGACACAGGCTATCACAGGGGCTCATTCGGAAGCTGTCTCTGGAGCATTGAGAACTGCCATCTGTGAGGGAAAAGGCACGGGAAACTTGGGCGGAGGCAAGTTTCTCCATCATGGCAGTGCAGCTGCTCATTCTTCCAGGGAGCAAGGCTTTCTTTGGAAACCTGACCCCATCCACCCCACCATCCTGAGCTTGTGTCTTCAGACTTCTTTTTGCCCCCCAAGCTCAAAGAACTTTAAAAACGGGAACATGATTTGAATCCTTCAAGGGTGCCCAAACTGCTGTTTCGACTTGGTAAAACTTGAAAGAGTACAGAATTCTTGGGTTAGAGAGATGGAAACTCCACCTTCAGAAGTGCATAGACCTAACTGGACGATATGTTGAGAAACAATAGCTTCGCTTGGGGATGTTTTTGTTGCATAATAGTGTTTACGATTTTATAGCAAGACTTTTTGAATTTACTGACATTACTACCTTTTATTTTCTAATCCCATCAATAATAACCAGCTACCCCAAATATCTTCAAGCCTGTGTTTCTTTTCTCCAAGTCTGTAGCATCCATGAAGAGAAAAAGACATAGAAAGCTACATTTTAGGAAACATAACAAGAGGGTCTTCAAATTCCCTTTTGGTCTTACATTCTGTGGTTCTAAGAAAGAAAGTTAAGTCATCGTTTCTTCTCGGAATGGAAGTGGACAATAGAATCCTAAAACCCAAAGTTGGAATGGATTGAGCAACGATTTCCCTAGGATAAGAGTCCACCATGCTCATTTTATTAACTGGACACAATATAAAAGTGTAACTCATCCAACTCATTCTCTCACTCATCCAAGTCTCTTGTAAGGAGTGCCTCTTGTGGCCCAGGCCTGAACCAGGAGTAGTAAATACAAGTGCCCAGGTGTTGAAAGCTCAACAGTGAAGGATTATCCAGAAAGCAATGGAGAATTTCACAGGGGAAAATTGGGTCAGCACCCAGCATAACCCTACAATAACTTTGCAGATCCCGCAACGTTTATGGCATTTATTCTTGGGCATAGAATATAGAAAGAGTAGCAGAAGGACATTGGGCCTCCCTCCACTCAAGTACTCCCTCAACACAAGAATACTTTCTTCTAGTAAATTGGCATTCTATGATGCTCACCTTCCCGACACAACCGCTGAAGACAAAACGGGTGAATAAGCAAATGTGGTGAAGAAAGCTGATGGTGCCCGGCTATCAAAAGATATAGCGTCTGGGGTCTTAAAAGCTTGAAGGTAAACAAGCGGCCATCTAGCTCAGAAGCAACAAAGCCCACATGGAACAACATATCAACCTGTGTGATCACGGGGTGTCGAACGGATCACTGAAGACAAATGGGTGCATAAGCAAATGTGGTGAAGAAAGCTGATGGTGCCCGGCTATCAAAAAGTATAGCGTCTGGGGTCTTAAAGGCTTGAAGGTAATCAAGCGGCCATCAAGCTCAGAAGCAACAAAGCCCACATGGAAGAAGCACACCAGCCTATGCAACCACGAGTTGTCGAAGGGATCAGGTGTAAGGCAACATCAGAACAAAAAATCTTACCATAGTGAATGATGGGGGGAGTGCAGAGTGGAGATCCAAAGCCCATTAGTAGGCCACTGGAGATCCCCTTGCAGAGGGGTCTCGGGGAGGAGATGAGCCAGTCAGGGTGCGAGGTAACAATGATGAGAAATACAACCTTCCTCTAGTTCCTAAAGGTTTCCTCCCCACTCCCACTACCATGACTCGAATTCTATCTTGCAAGACTGGCTAGACCAGAGGAGGTACACTGGTACAGATAGGAACTGAAAATACAGGGAATCCAGGACGGATGAGCCCTATAGGACCAGTGGTATGAGTGGCAAAACAGGGTGGGTAAAGGGAGAATGGGTAGGAAAGAGGGAACCGATTACATGGAACTGTGTGTGACCTCCTCCCTGGGGGACAGACAATCAAAAAGTGGATGAAGGGAGACGTCGGACAGGGCAAGATATGACAAAATAACCATTTATAAACTATCAAGGGCTCATGCAGGAGGGGGGAGCGGGGAGGGAGGGGAAAAATGAGGACCTAATGTCGGGGGTTTAAGTGGAGAGAAAATGTTTTGAGAAACGATGTACAAATGCGCTTTACACAATTGATGTGTGTATGGATTGGGATAACAGTTGTATGAGCCCCAAATAAAATGATTTTTTTAAAAGAAAAAAAAAAAGAATATAGAAAGAACCTTTACGTTGGGTGGGGAGGCAGTGTGGACATATACACACAGAGCGTTAACATGAACTTTGAAGAGACAGCTATGATTGGGAGAAAATTTGGCGGAACCCCATGTCTTGCGGATAGCTGTAATACCCATAAAGGTAGAGAATGTCTACAACTGAGCAGCAAAAAGACACAACCCACTCAAAAAGTGCAAACAGCACTTGACTAGACGCTTCAGCAAAGAGGATTTACAAATGGCCAACAAGCACGAGAAAGGATGGTCAATGTCATTAGTCGTTCAGCAAACAAACAAACACAATCCGTTGCTGTCGAGTCTGTTCTGACGATAGCAACCTTCCAGTCCTAGAGTCTAAGACCAAGTCGAGCTGCTCCTCCAGGTGTTTCAAGGCTGTCATCTCTAGGATGCAGACCGCCACATCTCTCTTCTGACCAGGTGCTGGCCGGTTCAAACCGCCAACCTCTGAGTTAGCAGCCAAGTTATTAACGGCTACATCATCAGGGCTCCTGCTTCATCAGTAAACTAAAACCACAATTGCCATCAAGTCTAGTCAGACTCATCATGGCCCTACTCAGGGTTACCGACACTGTGAATCTTACTGGTGTAGACAGCCTCATCTTTTTCCCCTGCAGTGACTGGTGGGTTTGAACTGCCACCTAGGCTTAGCAACCTAGTACTTAATTCACAGTGCCACCAGGGCTCGTTTTGTTAGCACTCAGCCCACAACTGTTGAGTTGATGCTAACTTACGCTGACCCTGTATGACAGAGTAGAACTGTCCCGTTGGGTTTCAGAGGCTGTAAATACCTACAAGAACAGACCGCCTCATCTTTCTCCCCCAGAATGGCTGCGGAAGTCAAACCGGGAGGTTAGGAGGCCAACGCATAAGTCACGAGAGCTCCCTTTGCTAGTCCTTCCAAAACACAAACTCAACTGCCATCAAGTCCATACTGGCCAAGGAGTCCTGGTGGCATAGAGGTTGGGCTGCAATCTGCAAGGTCGGCAGTTCAAAACCATCAGCCACTCCTCTGGAGAAAGACAAGACTTTCCATAGAGTTGTGATCTCAAAAACGCACAGGGGCGGTTGTTAATCATTAGGGAGCTGCAAATCAAAAACACCATGTGGCGTAGCACCTCAGATTCACTAGGATGGCTCTTTGCAGAGAAATGGAGAATAATCGGTGCAGGCAGAGATGTGGAGAAGCTGAAACCATTCCCCATGCTGGTGGGAATGCAATGGTGTCGCTATGGTGGAAACCAACTGCCTGGTGATTCCTCCAAAATTAAGCAGGAATGAGGAATGACTCAATAATCCCACCACTCCTAGGGACACTGGTATGCTCAATGGAATGGAGCGCAGAAGCACAAAGAGAAACCTTCCCAACAATGTTCATGGCAGACTCCTTACCCAGCCAGATGGCTGAAGCAACCAAAGTGCCCGTCCATGGAAGACACACAAAATCCGATCTCATCACAGAACAGATCAGGACTCAGCCAGGAACGAAGAGGACAAAGCCCTGCCATATGCTACAGCAGGGAGGCACCTGGAGGCCATTACGCTGAGTGAAATAAGCCAGTCACAGAAGACAAACGCTGTAGGGTCACCCCACTTCCATGAAACAGGCAACCGTCTAGAGACAAAGGACATTCGTGACCAGCAGGAGGAGGAAGGAAGGGGGGACGAGTGTCATTTCACAATGGAGCACTTTGAATACAGCGCCCCGAGGACACAGCACCTATGGAATAAATGCTGTCTTTTCTCATGGGTGATATTATCTAATCATCATCATCATCATCATACAATCGTTTGTCTGGCTTCCACGTGAAAAACAGCAGATCGGGACTTGGGCGACCCCGGTTCTAGTCTTGGTTCTCCTATGAATTTGCGCTGTGCCCTTTGATAAGCCACATTATTTCGTTGAGGGTTGGTTTCTTCAACTATGAACTAAAAGGGCCAAACAAAATAAATATCCACCTCTCTCCAGGTCTCTATCTCATATTAGGCTTCAATTAGTGGTTCATGTTCGTAGCATATTTACCCCCTCATGTTTTGCTTGAATAATATAATTCATCTGAATTCTCTTAGCAATTAGCCTGTAATGACAGAGGCTGAAAGCCCAGAAACCAGCTAAAAGTATATATAAACTAAATTTCAAAACATATATACATGTGTATATAATATCTTTTGTAATCCCAATTTTAAAACCCACCCACCCCCAACAGGTCTATCACAACGACACCTGTACAAAAGCAGTGTTGGCATATGGTTTGTCTGAAAAGAAAGTAGAAGAAATGAAAACAGGGGCTATAGTAATAAGATGTGTTTCTGGCCATGTTTTCCCCACTGTCAAAAAAACCCATCATGCTTGGTCATGATCACTGTGGGTGACAATGAATGGTTGCAGGCACAGAGCATCTGCAGAGCAGACAGCACACAGCTGAGGTGTGTCACCTGTAATGCTGGCCTCTTTATGGTGTCCAGCAGGAGACTGGCTCTGGTGGCCACTGCCGGGTTGACGTCCTCCACAGCCGTCAAGAAGCAGCAGAAGGCATGCGCCAGCGAGTACTTCAGCAGGTGGTTCCTGGTCACTGCGTGAATGTCCAGAAATCTACATATGACGGCCACTTTTTCCACTGCAAGTTAAAGGACAGAGGACCCAAGGGCGGGAAAAGAGACATATATTTAGATAGGCTGAGAACTGAATGGATGAAATGTTAACTCTGGGCGACCCCCCCCCCACACACACACACATGGTGATTTTAAACATCCAAGGGAAATGACAGTGCCATCTTCCCTAGTGCTCCAGTTCATCTACGTGGCACAGGTCACTGCTACCCAATGCTACTCTTCTTTCAGACAGCCATGACTTAGCTCTGGGCTGGCCTCTTTGTTCATTTCTTATAATTAGCTTTATTTAGAGATCATAGAGAGAAGTGTATGGGTGCCAAATTGACAAGGGGTGTGCTGGGATGGTTAGGGTCTTGTGTCACCTTGGCTGGGCCAGGATTCTCGGTAATTTGGCACGTAAGACCTAGCAATCGCCGATGACGAGATCTCCTCAAGAGTGTGGACTGCTTCCAATATAAGTGGATGCTATGGAAAAGTCAGCCTGCTTTTTGCTAGGTCTGAATCCTGCCTCTGATTCTTGGACTGGAGCCAATGGCCTGCTGTGTTGCCTGCCAATCCTGGGAGTCATCTGTGGCCTGCCATCTCACTGCCAACATTGGATTCATTTGTCTCAGCAGCTAAAAGCCAGTTGCTTCCTGCTCCCCATGGGTCCATCAGCCCCTGCAGCTACGTACATCAGGAGAGGCCTCCAACCAAACACCTGACCTGCAGACTTGGGACTTGACCACTTCCACAGCTATGTGAGCCATTCCCTTGACTATAAACACACACACACACACACACACACACACACACACACACACACACACCCTGCATTTGACTTTAAGCTCAATTTCAAGCTATTCAAAATGCTTCAATGCTCCTTTCTTGTGGTCACCCATGGAGCTCTGCAGGCCACTGGCCGCTGTGGGGGGAAGGGAGGTGCCCATCAGGCCTGACTTTGGGTTCCAGACTCTTACCCCACTCCCTTTCAACTAGGTGGTTGGTAAGGAATATTGAACATGGCAACGAATGGCTAAAATGAGCAAATCTGTCTTGGAAGAAGTACAGCCAAAATGCTCCTTCGAAGCCAGGAC